TTATTTCTAATTTTGTTGAAGAGAAGACATAAGCATAATAAAACAAAGCATTTTTGCTAGTTAAGGATAGCTATAGAGAGAGATTCCTAGCATTGCTTCCATGTACAAATGTGTTACAACCAAAGTTGATTCATATCTAACTGATTATTACACTGATTCCTGATCCCCTTCTTGTGTTGACCTCTGTCACTTTAAGGTTTCTGTATAAGTTCCTCTGGAAACTAAAGCAGATACCTTAAAAGCAACTGAGGCCAATAGGAAAAGGGGACCAGGAACTAGAGAAAAGGTGAGATCAAGAAGAATTAACCTAGAAGGTAACACACACGCACAGGAAATTAATGTGAGTCAACTCCTTGTATAGCTATCCTTATCTCAACTAGCAAAAACCCTTGTTCCTTCCTATTATGGCTTATACTTTCTCTACAACAAAATTAGAAATAAGGGCAAAATAGTTTCTGCTGGGTATTGAGGGGGTGGGGGCAGGGGGGAGAAATGACCCAAGCCTTATATGCACATATGAATAAAAAAAAAAAGTTCCTCTGGAGTGGGGACATCAAACGCTTTCATGTTTTGGGTTTTCTACCTATCCCCATACCTCCCGTATGTGCTCTCCCCTTGTCATGTGACCCAAGTTCAACCACATTGCTGCATTTGCCCTAGATCTAAGGTCTGCATATGAGAACATACAATTTTTGGTCTTCTGAGCCTGGCTAACCTCTTTCAGAATGATGTTCTCCAGTTCCATCCATTTACTTGTGAATGACAAGATTTCATTCTTCATGGCTGCATAAAATTCCATTGTGTATAAATACCACATTTTCTTTTTTTTCTTTTTTTTTTTTTTATAAGATGAGCATTGGACTGCCAACTTTATTTACTCATTCATGTACTTATGGGCATTACTGGGATTTGAACTCAGGACCTTGTGCTTGATAGGCAGGTGCTCAACCACTTGAGCCATACCCCAGCCCTACCACATTTTCTTAATACATTCGTTGGTGGTGGGGCATCCTGGCTGTTTCCATAACTTGGCTATTGTGAATAGAGCTGCAATAAACATGGGTGTGCAGGTGCCTCTGGAGTAATCTGAATCGCATTCCTTTGGTATATCCCCAGGAGTGGGATTGCTGGATCATATGGTAGATCTTTGTTTAGATTTTTAAGAAGCCTCCAAATTTTTTTCCAGAGTGGTTGCACTAGCTTGCATTCCCAGTGTACAAGGGTTCCTTTTTACCTACATCCTCGCCAACACCTGTAGTTGGTTGGCAGTGGTTTATCAACTTTCATTTCCTGTAAGCAGCAAATCCTGAGTAAGACTTTTAGACACCTTAGCATCAAAAATAGTCTCCAGGCTGGGTACATAGCTCAGTGGTAGTTTGCCTAGCATGTGCAAATGTCTGGGTTAAATCCCCAGCACCACACACACAACACACCTTTCCCTCAGATAGCACATTAAAGGAAGCACAGGAAGCAGTGTTCTCACCCTTTCCCTTCCAAAGGGCTTTCCACTTCCCTCTATCTCATGGGCCTAAACTTAGTCACGTGGCTACATCTTGCTGCAATAGAAAAAACATAATTTTCTAGTTGAAAACATTTCCTATGGTTACAAGAAATGAGAATGGAATTTCAGGTCAACTGGCATATATGGTTCACAATATATTATCTAGCACGGTGCAATCTCTTGACTGTATCATTTGAGCAACAAAGTATCTTGTATGTCAGCCTCTGAAGTAGGGAATAGTGGAAAGAATCTGAAATAAACTTAATTAATTCCTACAGTGCACATCTATGGGGATTTCTAATAGAACCAGCTGAAAAACAAATGTTCTCAAAATATTATTTGCAGAGAATAGAAAAAAGGGAGGGGGAAGTAATTCTCAGTGGAGAAACCCATCAGCCAATGATCCAGGTCCAACAGCCAAAAGACAAACTTGACAGTATGCAACCATGCTGTAATCACCTTTCCTCTGATCTTCCTCGCATTCCCTCCACCTCCATAATCCTGGTCTACTCATGAGAAAAACACCAGACTAACTCTAAGAGGGGCATCTTCTAGAATACTTGACCACTCTTATCCAGCCACTGGATTGAGTTTGAATCCTTTTTATTTTTTGGTGGAGTTTGAACCTAGGTCTTCACCCTGCAAAGCAGGCCCTCTACCACTTGAGCCACACCTCCATTCCATTTTGCTCTATTTTGGAAATAGGGTCTCACAAACTATTTGATTGAGCTGGCTTCAAACTGTGATTCTCCCGATCTCAGCCTCTTAAGTAGTCGAGTCGTTTATGATACAGCACAGTTTCGAATTTTTGAAGCACTAAGTCTTAAAATTTTGATGAAGCCTAATTTATCTAAACTTTCCTTTTGCTGTGTTTTTGGTGGCAGATGTAAGAAACCATGCCAAATTCAAGGTTATAAAGACTTCCCATTTTCATCTAAGAATTTTAAATTTAGGCCTTTGTTCCATTTTGTTTTTTATACTATGGTGTGAGGTAGGAACTCAACTTCCTTCTTTTGCATGTAGATATCCAGTTCTAACACCATTTGTTAGACTATTCTTTTCCTACTTCATACACTTGGGCACCCTTGCTGAAAATCAATTGACCAGAGATACACTGGTTTTTTTCTGGGCTTTCAGTTAGACTCCATGAACTTATACATCTCTCCTTGTACCTGTTCCACACTGCTTTGACTCGTGTAGCTTTATGGTGAGTTTCAAAATTAGGATGTGGCTATCTCTACTTGCTTCCTGGCTTTCCTCAACCATGACATTTCTGCCTTGCCACAGGACTTAAAGCATGAGTCAGTCATTCATGGCTGGCAACCTCTGAAATCATGAAACAAACCTTCCTTCCTTTTCTCAGATATTTTTTTGCAGCAACAGAAAGTGTTATAAATGGAATTGCTTTCTCAACTTCCTTTTGGAACTATTTATGGCTAATACATAAAAATGTAACCTTTTAATATACTTTCTACCCTATAGCTTTGCTGAACTCAATGACTTATTTTGAAAATTTGTTATGATTTTCTACATGAGATAGTGCAATTTCTGACCATGGATATTTTTCATCCTTTCCAATTTGGATGACTTCTTTTTTTGGTGGAACTAGAGCTTGAATTCAAGACTTCTTGCTTGCAAAGCAGGTGCTCTACAGCTTGAGCCACACCTTCAGCCCATTTTGTTCTGGTTATTTTGGACATAGGGTGAAGGGGGTCTCACGAACTATTTGCCTGGGCCAGACTCAAACTACAGACCTCCTGATATCAGCCTCCCAAGTAGCTAGGATTACAGGCATGAGTCACCAGCACCCAGCTTGGATGACTTTTCTTTTTCTTGCATTATTAATTGCTTTAGAAGGACTGCACCTTTAGGTTAAAAATGAGAGGAAACATTCTATCTTTGCAATTTCAAAAGGGGTTTTAATCTCTACATTGCAATATAGAAGTATCACTTTCAGAGTTTGTAGATAGTGTGCCACAGAAAGGATAACATGGACTGGCGGAGTGGTTCAAGTGGTAAGAGCACCTGCCTAGCAAGTATGAGGGCCCTGGGTTCAAACCCAAGTGCTGACCCCCCAAAAAGAAAGGATAATAAACATTTTAGTCTCTGCAGCTAAAGTATGTATAACCCAAACATTCTAGTGTCAACAGCAATTTATTTTTTGAGACAGGTCTCACTACGTTGCCCAGGCTGGTCTTGAACTCCTATGCTTAGGGGATCCTCAGGTTTCACCGTCCTGAGTAGCTGGAACTATAGGCATGTACCACCACACTTGGCAGATCAACAGCACTGTAAATTATGCACAGTAATGTAAGAATGAAGAGCTTTTCTTGTTTTACGCTGTTATCTTTAATGTTTTTTAAACTGAAGAAACAGAAACAAGTAAGTTTTCACCTTTAAAATTTATTACACAAACCATACACACAAAATGAAGTTCTGGAAGAATAAGTTATAATATACTTCAATAAGAGTATAAGAGAATGATATGTATACCACCAACAATATGCATACATTTAAATGTTCTCAATGATTGGGATTTTTCTATGAATTATATGAGGCAGTATTTATGAATTAAGGTATCCAAATTTAAAAGTTTACATATTCAGATAATAAATCAACAACAAACAGCAGCTCAATTTTGAACCATAGTAAAATGCAAAATCTTGGGGTAGGGCAGGGGGTATAGCTCAGTGGTACAGCACATGCATGAGTCCCTGGGTTCAAACTCTAGTACCACCATCACCACAAGCTACAAAACCCCACAATCTTTCACTTTTACATTACTGTTCCTTATTCCCTCCAATAAGGTTTCTAAGAACTATTTTGCAAGCTGATACTAGAATGCTTCCCCCAGTATGTATGGAGGTGAATGGTTTAACCTTTAAGAAATGTATTTTTGGTATCAGTAATACAAAATTATATTTATATTTATATATTTGTATATAAACAATATCTATAGAATATCTAAACACAATTGTAGAAAGACAGTCTTCAAATACAAAAACTTTGTGCTAGTAAAAAGATGTTTAACAAGGTAGTAATTAATATATTTTTTGTACATATTACAAAAGTAAACCAAAAATATTTAAAATATTTATTAACCCAAAGAATTATAAAAAATGCTCATCCTAAAACATTAATTCTGATGTTCAAGTACAGAATGTGGTACAGCCCTCTTGCAAATCATGACTTGAATTCTGGTTTTTATGTGAGTGGGCAAGGGAAGCAAAAGGCAAGTAGAAGGGCATTAAGGAAAACAAAGATGACATAAGACACAATGGATAACAAAATGGTTATTGTATCTGGTCTGATAACCATTTTTTTCCTGCAGAGCTGGGATCAAACCTAGGGCACACTGTGCATGTTAGGTAAGCACTCTACCACTAAGCTACACTCCCAAGCCCTAACCTTGGTTTAGAAGAGTACAATTAAAAGTGCTTAATTAAAAAAAAAAAGTCAATGTGGCTAATTATTCTTAAGTGCCATAAAACATTAGTTATTAGTTATCAAAATAGCTTTATTAAGAACTGGCCAAACTTCAACTATTACTATTACTACAGTGTTTTGTTCAAAATTCTAATATTTATGTTATCTTACACATGTACATAAACATCAGAAAAGTTTAAATACTTTTATTTTACTACTTTAATCTTTTTCTTGAAGATGAGTGTTTCATCTTCCATCAGTTATGTTGTTATGACAGAAGTAAATTAAATAGGAACTGAATATAAAAAACCTCATCATGATCTGGAACCACTGAAGTTTTCTACTTCTTGCTCCATTTTCTACATAAAGGGTAGGAAGGAAAAATAATAAGTTTCAATACAGAAAAAGCAAAAAAATAATTTCATAGATGTTTACTTTTAATAAATGTCCTTAAGGATATTAATATCCACATAAATATCTGATAAAATTTACTTGCACATTCATAGATATTATTTTATATTTTACAAGTAATAGTATTACATTTTATACCATGTAAGTATTATAGTATACTCTAGAATGCACACAAAATGAGTTTTCAGTCTCATTGATACTATAATTATTTAATATAAAGGCAAAGCAATGAAGCTCTAGATGTAAAAAAATTCGTAATTCACACATTAAAAATGCTTTTTAAATTCTTCTTTTCTTTTCTTGAGATAGGGTCAAACTATATAGCTTGGGTTGAACTTGAACTCACTATGTAGCCCAGGCTGGCCTCAAGCTCACAATCCTCTTGCTTCAGCCTTCTGAGTGCTAGGATTAGAGGTGTACACCATTGAACCTGGCTTTTGGCTTCTAAATCCTTATTTAGAAAAAAGTTTCAACTCAATAGTTTACCTGTGTAAGTGTTGTTTTATCATAGTCCCCACGATGCTGGTAAATACACTGGCTGATGACTGCATACAAATTTTCCAGTTGAAATATATTGTATTCTTTACTTTTTTTAACAACAGTCTTCAAAAGATTCTAAAAGAAGAGTGTTCACATTTGTGAGATAAATTCCCTCAGACAAGGTATTTAATTCTTGAAGCTTTGGGGAACTGTTATCATAAAATCTAGAGAAAAGAGAGCCTAAGCCATTTGGTGAGACACGGCAAGCCTTTGGCAGTGACTCTGACACTTGGCAGTATTAACTTTATCACCATTCTGTGATTCTGACCTTGGCCCTGGGTAAAAAAAAAAAAAAGAAAAAAAATCTGATTCTAAAAACTACAGCTGAGGATGCCAATCTCAATTCTATCTACGAACCTCAACAGACAAATTTCAAAATAACCTCACTTTAGATTAATAGGTAAAAAGCTTCTTCTTCATGGCAGTGTAAGTATATTATGATCAATTTCATTCGGTGAAACTTAAAAAGGTACTACACGTGGGGCTACCTTACCACTCAGGATACTTCCATTTGGTTAGTTGTGTCTTTTTCTCAAGACTGAAGTGGCAGACCCACTAGTAGAGCCTTAAGTGAGGTCCTACCAGGCTGTACCATCACAACTAAGTAAAAACCATATGAAGTGTTATAAGCAATGGTCATAAAAACAAGGGATGGGAACAATCACTTAGGTAAGTGTGTTAAAACTATAAATCAGCACATTAGTCATCTCCAAACACTGTTTTTATGCCAATCTGTCCACCACAGAAGGTTTATCCTTTCATAAAAGGTCATTATTTCTTGCTTTCCCAATAGATATATTGGGAAATATATCTATTTATTACACAGTCCCTCGTTTGGTGAGTTACGTTACTGGAGAAGGTACAAGTCTCAATAAACAGCTGCCTATAACTGACTAAATGATAATATGCCTGTATGCTGAATGGAAAAAAGCTGGGAAATTTATAAAAACTTACTAGTAGAGCAATAATCATCTTTAACCCCAAACAACATGGTGAATTATGCAAAGTTCCTATTTTCATGGTCATAAAATTTTTATAAATCTCACATATTTTAAAAGAAAATTTTCAGATGAAGTTTTTTTTTTTTTTTTTTTTGAGGAATTGCTCCAGATAAATTGCTGATTCCTTCTATAATGAGTATTTAAGTACGGACATGAAATTCTTAGTAAAGTGGCTACATTAAAAAGAGAAAGGTTTTCCTGAGCTAACTATTACTTGTACTTCAGAGAGTCCTTCTAAATTGTTAAAACTCTTACCTGTAGAAATAACTGATCTTTGATAAATATATATAGTTCTATACATTGAAAAATTTCAATGTCCCCAGCCTTGAAATGTGGCCAAAATAAAATAGGTAAGCTGGAATTAGGATGCAATTTTTTTTTTTTTAAGTTTTAACAAGGATTTATTTTAGTGTAACAGGATAAAGTACAAAGAGGGGAGGGGAAAAGAGAGAGATTTCCTGCCCTCTTTCAGGAAATAGAAGCAAAGGTTTTTATTTTGAAGGGAAAGGGCAATAAATCAATGTTATTTCAGTATGTCAAAGCAACTGCAACGTATCCAAGTTGTTTGTTGGGGAGCTAAAACTGTTTAGGGATATCAGGGTGGAGTCCAGAGGCAGGATTATTCTTATAGAGGTAATAATTAACCCAAGAGCACAAGAGAGAAGATGGTAAAGAAAAACACCAAGAAGCTTCTATGTAGCTGAAGGCAAGGATGGTTTAAGGATACAGCACTCAAGGCAGAAGAGGAATCAATGCTGTCAAATGTTAGACCTGGCAGGATTCAATTTAACAATAGCAGGAATTACCTGTTAGGAAGTCATTTTATCTGAATGGTGAGGATGAAAATGCAAATGAGAGGAAAACAGAGGGAAAAAGAAGCACCAACAGATCTGGCAGCCTATCAGCATACCACACATCCTCATATACAATTCCTCCTTTGGGGGAGGGGATGGAGAGAACAGTAAAGAGAAGCTAGGAGGAAGAAGAAAAGTTGTGGTTTCTCACATGCTTTCTATGTTGAGAGTGCCTTTAGTCCATAGTCCAGCATTTGGGGATTAGTAAAGAATGGAGGGAAAGCATCATGATTTCAATTTACATACTTTTAATTGCTCATGGTCCACCACAAGTGTTGGTGTAGGCTCAGAGAGAATTGCCAAAGCCTTTTCGACACTGATGAGCTGCTGCTGCTCTACTTGAGAACGTCTAGATCGAGTCATTCGTAGAATACACATTTCTACAATGAAAAATTAAGTGACTATTATTTGCTCCACAGACAGTATGCTTAAAGTAAGTATTAGACAGATTAAATAACAGAATTTTATAAAGAACATAAATACTAATTCTGGGTTAATCTCTTTCTGTTATAAGATTAAAATACTACCACTTACACACACTCAAAAACTGGGTGCAGACAAAGGCTGGAGGAGTGGCTGAAGGGGCAAGCAACTGCCTAGCAAGTGAGGGGCTTGTGTTTAACCTCCAGTGCTGCCCCCCACCCCCCAAAAACAATGGAGATTGAAAAATACTCCTCAACTGGAGTATTTCAAGGTTGCATGTGGGGGATACCTCAATAGGTTAAGACTGCCGTGGACATAAGACTTAGAACTTAAAGAGCTGGGAGAAGCCAGGCATGGTGGTACACACCTATAACCCCAGCAACCAGGAGGTTGAGGAAGGAGGATTGTTGAGTTTGATGCTAGCCTGGGTAATATTGGGAGTCCCCATCTCAAAAGAGAAAACTAAAAAAGGACTGGGGATGCAGGTCACTGGTAGAATGTTTGTCTAGCATGTGTGAGGCCCTGGGTTCAATCTTGGCCGAGGTGGGGTGGGGGTAGGGAGAGGGAGAGGGAATGATATATATTGATAGATAAATAAATAAATAATTAACTAGATATGGGAGGGACCCAAGCAATCTAAAATGAGTGAAATCAGGCCTATCCATGTTAGGTCTGGGGACGTAGCTCATTGGGAGAATCCTTGCTTAGCATGTGCTAGGCTCTGGGTTTTATCTCCAGCACTTCAAGAAGATACAAATGAAGATAATTCTAAATGGAAAATACAGGGAGCAGGACCACAGGAGTGGACTTACTCTACAGTAAGGGATAGAAGAATGACGGGTAAGAGGTGTTCTTTATCACTAAGCAAAAATCATAGGAAACTGCTTACCTTAACTAGGTTTTTTTTTTTTCCCTTCTGTTTTTAAAAGTAGTATAGACAGACTCTGGGCTACCTGCTTTAAATGGATTATGTTATTCAACCCTACCATCCAAAAACTCTACCCCAATTTTGTTGAAGAGTAAACAGGCTAAAAGATCACAAGCTACAAGGCAGTGAAGTGGAGGTCAAATCCAGGTCTGTTCAACGCCAAAGTGTACGATGACAACAGTGATTTACTAGCTCAAAGGTAAGCACACTGATACGTAATTAGTTATTTAGGATCTTTGACTGAATAGCTTTTAACTGTGACTTACCTTTTGCTTCATTTTCATCAGAATTATCTACAATCTGAGAGCTAGAAGCATCTCCGTTGCAAGAAATCTTATCTTTTCTCAATTCTGTACATGTAGTTTTTGTAGATTCTTCAAGTTCATTTTCAGTATTACAAATACTGGGACTATTATTTCCCAACTCAATTTTGTTTTCACAGGCACTTTGCTGCTTCTCATTTTCTTCTATTGAAGACTCTCCTGTGTTTCCGGTGTCGTTATGTTCTACACTTGTATCCTGAGCTTCCTCTGCATCACTCTCCATTTGGTCATCCACAGCATTTTGGCTATCATCTTTTGCCTGTGAAATTCTCCTTCGTTTTGCTTTGGTGCCTACACACCACTTTGACTTTTTGTGAATTTTTCTCTTCAACTGAGCTTTAAACAAACAAAACAAAAACAAAAAAAAGATATCTAACAAATTTCTAAATTCTATGATAAAAGAGTTTAAAAAAAATCCTGAGATATAAGAAGACAGAAAAGTTGAGAACCACAGTAAGTACTTTTGTATGGTTGGAATATTGAAGCAGAAGTAGAGTACTACGAAAAGATGAAGAAATGGGGAAGGTTCAGATCATAAAATGACCTACTTTCCATGGAGTGTAGACTGTATCTTGAATAATTTTTTTCAAATGTTGAATAACTTTAAGGAGGGCAATGACATCATCTACCCAATGATGTCTGGCAATAGAATGAGAAATAAATTAGAAAGAAGGCAAGACTTACAACAGTCTACACTTACTGAGTGCTTAACACGTATTAAGAACTGTTTTCAAGTACATTCCATACAGGAATTCATTGAAATTTTGCTTCAGCCTGATGGGGTCTGTTACTATAATCATCATTACTTTAAAGATGGAGAAACTAAGGTACAGAGAGAGCCAATATTCTGTCTAGAACTTGGAAAAATAACTGAATGTTGGGAGGTAATATGGAAAGGAAGATTTGATTATTTACATCTTAGGTGGAAACAGGTGATAAGGAATCAAGTTGAGTCTGAAATACCTATGGTAGAAATACTTTCAAACCTAGCTACTTGGAAGGCAGAGATGAGGAGGATCACGGTCCAAGGCTAGCAGGGCAAATAGTTTGTGAGACCCTATCTTGAAAATACTCAACACAAAAAATGGTTGGAGGAACGGCTCAAGTGGGAGAGTACCTGCCTAGCAAGCGTGAGGCACTGAGTTCAAATCCCAGCACTGCCAAAAAAGTACCTTCAAATTGACCAAGTGGAAGAAAGAAAATTTTACAAGTAATTCTCAGATTTTTTTAGTTTTAATTTGTGATTGGCATATGACATGCATAAAGTATTCAAAACATAAACAAGGGAGTTGTTGCTCCTATTTCCTGCATGGGGAACAGGAAATGTTTGTCTTTTCTCCAATTTCTCCCTACTTATCCTGTTGTACACTAAAATAAATCCTTGCTAAAACTTCTAAAAAAAAAAAAAAATCAACAGTGAATATCCATGTACATTAAAAATAATTTGTATGTTAAGTGTGTCTGCGTTTAGGAGATTCATCATTCATGTAGTTGAGGTTTAACCATTTTCCCTGTTGCAATAATCATCCAAATTTTTTCATTCTACTGTATATGAGCATTTGAGTTGTTCTCAGTGTTGCTTCTTTGAACATTCTTCTCTCTTTTGGTAAACCTAATATATGCCATCCTATTGGGTCTTTTGCTAGGAATGGATTGTTTTAAGAAAGCCAATTTCCATGTCCAAAGTTTTCTTACGCACACTTGCTTAGAGTTGAGTTGACTGAGAACATTCTGACAGTGGAAACCTCTTGCTGATTCTCCTTTTTAGATGCCTACCACTCCCATTTTACAATAGAAGTGCTTACTCTTTATTTCAAATCAATTACCCCACAAAGGACAAACTGGCATTAAACTAACAGAAGGTTCTGCTGGGGGCATAGCTCAGTAGTAGAGTGCTTGTCTAGCATGTGCCAAGGCCTGGGTTCAATCCCCAGCACCAGGTTGGGGGGTGATGGTAGGGAGGGTGTACACATAACATGTTGAAAAAAAGTGAATGAATGGTAATGAAGAATTAAGAGGCTCAATCTGGGAAAATAAAATGAGTAAGTGAGGCGAAGAGGCTGAACAGAGTCTGACATTTATGGGGCTTACAGAGCAGAAATTGGAATTAAAAGTCTGCTAAGGAAGGTAGGCCTCAGAAAAACTCACAGGCTTGGAGGTTGATACCCTCTGGCTATAGCCTAAGAATAATGGGGAATTGAAAATAGACCAAGATTCATAGAAAATAAGTCAGTAAATTCAATTCAATTAGGTGGTGAATTGGAATTGCAAGTGGTAAATTATGAACTTGGATTTCAAGAGTGTAAAGTTGTTGAATGTAACCTACTGGATTAATAAAGAAAAGCAAGGGAGAAAGTAATGGCTTCAAGAGAAAGGTTACAATTTCATAAATGAAAATTACCCAACAATACTTACCAGGTGTGCTGCAAGCCACAGGAGTACTGGGTGTCTTTGGCTTTTCATTCTGCTCCACATCGGATTTTTTATCACCAGCAGGAGCAGAATTTTGCCTTGGCATCACATGGTAGTAAGATGGGGCGTATTTTGAGGAGCTACAACCTTATAAATAAATATGCAGGGTTACAAAAAGGGTTTCCAGATTTCAAAATTGTATAAAAAATTAATTAAAAGGACTCAATACATCACATGTAAAGCATCTTTTTCTGATGCCAAATCATTTTCCTACCTCTTTTCTTTCTAGATTCTTCAATCTCTTCACAAAGCTGCTCAAAGTCTTCATCAAGTTCTTCTTTGATTATTGCGTAGGCGGTATCTCTTAAAGCACAGGCTCTATGTCTAATAAGACGATCTGAGAAATGAGTAAACAAACAATTCTTCATTTTCCCCTTTCAATAATTTACCACAAATAAACTCAGTATTTTGGGCTAAGACAGTAGCCATTACAAATCCTTTTATACTTTTACCATAAGTAATAAAAAGTTACTAGAGTTGTATCAATCTGTGTTTGATGCTACTCCTTAACACTCTGGTTATGAATTGATATGGCAGATTACGCACAAACAATTTTATTGCTGTACCCTATGCAGATCCTTGCAAAGTATCAGAAAGAGAGATAGAGGTGTAGTTCAGTGAGCTTTTCAATTATTTAACCAGCTCTCAGTAGCTCCCTATACTAATCAATCCAACTTACAAGTACCATCAACTACAGGTCTGGAAAGACATCCTCAGTCTTAATGTGTCCGGGGAACTACAGGGCTTAGTTTTTGTAAAAAACATTTCTATTAACAAGTATTAAATATTATTACTTGGTAATAAAAACTGTAATGGTTTTAACTGAGAAAATCGTTTAAAACCTATTTTATTAGAGTTTATTTTTCCACTTGGAGAAAGAACATCGACAAAGTAAACAAGGTATTTTATGTCTCACTAGAGGATGCATCCCATAATTAATTATTGCTATTCGGGGATGCGAGGGTGGAAAAACCCTGCATCCAAATTCTACCTCTGCCCTACCCCAACAGTGTGACCTTGAGCAAGATTTTTAACCATTATAAATTTCACCTTCCTTATCTATAGAATGGGCAAAGGTAAGGTTGTAATGAGGATTAAATGGCCTTATGAATGTAAAATATTTTAAATATAGTACCTAACATAAAAATTATTAAGAATTAGCAGCCCCCACACCATCCCCTGAAAAAAAATTCATTAATGCTCACCTCCAGGATCTCTATCTGGATTGTATTCTAAAGCATTACTACAGATTAGATCAATATCTCTCAAATAGTCTTTCACAGTCAGATACTTGTGTAGATCAATTTTACTGATAACAGATGAAAGATCCATTGGTTGCTTTATTACAGTGACATAATCTGGAACCTAAATTAAAGCAAATGACAAGATCACTCAACTAACTCTAAACATAAAAACATTTCACTCAAGTTTTGGCCAGGAAATACATGGGATAGAGAATAAGAGACAAGGATTTTCTATTAATATGAAACCTTGGGTTCTATCTAAGCTTGTTTGTATTTTATATTTTTTCCTGTTCTTGGGCAACTACATTTTCCAGTAACATCTTTTATCTTTTTCCTCACGTAACTGCAAACCATATTTCAATGTCAACTTAAAAGATTCACCCCTTTGCCAAGCACAGTGGTACATGCACTCGGGGGACAATCTTAGCCCTAGGAAGGCTGAGGCAGAGGTCAGCCAAGCCTACATTGTAGGTTCCAGGCTCATCTGTACTACACTGCAAGACCGTGACTCTCCAGGTTAATTCCAATTGTGTAGGCCATTGTAGTATCGCACGGCATTAATATTCTCAAATTGCTTTTAGAATGTTTAGATAGGGTGGGAAAAGTTAACTTTCTATTCTCCACAAGAAAGGAAAACGTACTAGATAGCTCTTAAAGTCTCCACAAGCTTAGGACACTAAATTGGTACATGCTTCCATACAAAGAAAACAAGTTCAGAGTATAGCATGACTACTCAAATATTCTGGTTTTCAAACATTATGGCTTAGAACACATATGAGCCAATGATAAAATTAATACCTCATCGGGGTCAACAGGCTTAGTAAACACTCGGAATCGTTTGTCAATAGCAAGCCTATGTGTGACATTTCTTAAGAAAATCCTCAGTTCTCTAAATGTATCTTCTTCCTGTTCTTCTAGTCGCTTTACTTCTTCTGCTGTCATTGGTCTTGGCTCGGGAGGTGGTGCTACTGGGAGTACCTCCAAGGCCTGCAAAACTACACAAGAAGATTTTAGTTACTACCCTCCATAACGCCAGTGCATATAGTGTCAGGCTTTCAGGGGTTATCTTCCTTACATTTGCCAGGAATCCAAGTTAAAAAAAAAAAAAGTACTGCTATAATCTCTACCACTAAATTCCCTCCAGAAATAACTAGTAACTTGCAAACATTTGGAATACTAATTCCTAAGTCATTAGGAATTAGTTCCCTTTTAAGATGGTTAGAAGGCTAGTAAGACTTTGAAAATGCATTACTTCTGAGATAAGAATACTCTAAGTACAAAAATATCTTCTTTATTAGTTTTAAACTAATGAAAAATTGTGGCATGTTTCAAATATGCTAAAGCTTAATTTTCTTTAACTGGATGTACAATGGGTATCCAGGAATAAGAAAGGATATGAGAGATCTGCCTCAATAAGCTGGCAATTTATCAAGGGAGTAAGACACATAATTTCATCATTATAGTGTCATATTAGTAGTATGAAAGAAGTTGAGCAGAACATTAGGCAGAAATGAGGGGTAGAAACAGTAACAGGGTACTGGTGACTCATGCCCGTACATTCTAGCTACTTGGGATGCTAAGATCAGGAGGATCATGGTTTGAGGGCAACCTGGGCAAACAGATTGTGAGAGACACCAAAACGGACTAGAGGAGTAGCTCATGAAGCCCTGAGTTCAAACTCTAGACAACCCCCATCAAAAAAAAAAAAAAAAAAAAAAAAAAAAAAAGGTCGAAGCCTGATAAGAAGCATAAATAAAACTGAATTGCATGAGGTTTAAAGACACAGCTTTGTGACAAAAAGAGGTGGCAGAAGGGAAGAACACAAAGCTAAAAATGGGCTTGGGAGGATAAACTGGGACTATCCTATGAACACCTTGTATGCCTTAAGAATGTTAGTCCATTTTAAGCATGGATTTTAAGGCAGTAGATGCATCAACCTCACGACTGAGATATTAATTTTTTTGGCAGTACTGGTGTTTGAATTCAGGGTCTTTTGCTTAGGCACTCTACCATTTGAGTCATGCCTCCAGCCCTTTTAGTTTTTAGTCAAATAGGATATTACATTTTTCCCTGGAGCCAGCCTGGTCAGCAATTCTTCTATTTATGCCTTCCACATAGCTGGGATGATAGGTGTGCACCACATGCTTCAGCTCAGTGGTTGAGATGGAGTCTTGGTATCTTTTTTGCCTGGGCTGGCTTCGAATTGAGATCATCCAGCTCTGCCTCCAACGCAGCTGTACCCATTCTATGACTGAGGTTTTTAAAAGCTTGTGGTATTAGATGTCAGTGACATTGACATTTTAGACCCACTTTCTTAAATTATTATATATTAATTTTGAGATAGTTAACTAACCTGCTTTCTTTTTTGATAAAGGAGGTTTAGCAGCTTGTTTGAGAATTAAATCTTCAAAAAATTTTGTCCGTTCTTCTTTACCTGGTAACTGGACATTGAAAACCTCTCCATAATCATGAGTAAACAATTCTTGCACCTTAAAAAAAGAAAACAAATGCAATACATACAGAATATACATATATGTAGCATGCACACACAATATATGCACTGATCATTTAATGCAACAGGAAGTTATTGTACACATTTTTAATGAAAATTTATAAATAAAAGATAATTTTCTTAAAGTCTTAGAGAATGTTGGATTAATGAATAAACCATGTGTGTAACAGATTAAAAACTCAGTAACACAGCATCTTCTTTAAAACTCAAGAATGCAGTAACTGCCAGGCCCCAGCAGCTCACACCTGTAATCCTAGCTACTCAGGAGGATCATGGTTCAAAGCCAGCCCTGGGCAAATAATTCCTGAGACCCTATCTTGAAAAAACCCCTTACAAAAAAGGGATAGTAGAATGACTCAAGTGGTCAGAGTGCCTGCTTAGCAACCGTGAGGCCTCGAGTTCAAACCCCAGTGCCCGGGGGGTGGGAGGTGGGGGCAGGTTATGAGAAAGAATACAGTAACTGGCATGATTCCACTGTATTTAAAGGATTTGTTGGGATCAACTGATTCACTTTCACAACTCAAGTGAGATGTGAGAACAATGTTCAAAACGAATAAAGACTGGAAGTGTTGGTAAGGCTATGGAAAAAAACTGGAAACCTTTGGGTTGCTTGTAGGCATGCAAAATGATGCAGCCATGGTGGAAAATAGAGTTGTGGTTACTCAAAAGGTAAAAACAGAGTTACTATGTGACCCATCAAGTCCATTTCTTGGTATAGATTCAAAAGAATTGAAAGCAACAATTTAAAAGATACTTGTACACCAATAATCACAGCAGCATTATTCACTAAGTCAAGAGGTAGAAACAACAACCCAAATGTCCATCTCTAGATGAATAAGCAAAATACAGAATGCACGTGGAATGGAGTATTATTGCAGCATCTACCTCCAGTGACTATGGAAGAAACTAGCCTATACTGGACACAGTATGTGTCAGCAGTTTGTACTCTGGGCACAGGGTTCTTTGCTGCTGATGTCAGTAGCCATATGTAAGGCATTGCCTTATAGCAGATGGCCAACAAGCCTATTGGAAACGAAGGTCAATTACTCCAGAGCTGTCCAAGAGCTCTTTCAAGTTCTTCCTAGTACTGACCCACAGCAAGAAACTGCTTCCTTACGTCAAACTGCATTATGGTTACCTTTATCAACCTTATCCCATTGCTTTGTCTTTCATGGATTTACAGAAATTTTTAATAAACATTCTTTCTCATTTTTCCAGACTATTCTGAGTTGTGAGAATCCAATAGGGTTCATGCATATACACAGCCGTTTTCTAATTGAAATTTTGAGATGGACAAATTTTGAAGTAGCTAATAATGAAACAACACACCTGTGCTATCTAGACACTGACTCAGTAAAAACAGTAAGGCTCAAAGTAGACTGACTTACTTAACAATTCATTCAGATTATTCATTTAAAAATGAGCAATTCCTCATCCTGTGCCCATTCCCCCTATACTACCAGGTGGTACTGGAATGTTTTACCTGGTTTACAAGTATATGCTTAGGAAATGCCCTGAGAATAAACGCTAGAAGTTATCCTTTTAGAAAAAAATCTTTTTGCCATGTTTGGTAGCTCTCATTTGTAATCCTGAATACTTGGGAAGTGGAGATTGGGGGAATCGCAGTTCAAGGTCGGCCCAGGCAAAAAGTTAGCAAGACCTTATCTCCACCAATAATGCCGGGTGCTGTGGCATGTGCCTGTCATTTCTGCTACCCAGGAGGTATTAAATAGGAGGATTATGGTTTAGACCAGCCTGGGAAAGAACACAAGATCCTATTTATCCTAAAAACAACTAAAAAGCAAAAAGAGCCAGTGGTGTGGCTCAGGGGTACAGTGTGTGTCTAGAATGTGTAAAACTCCAGGTTTGATGCCCAGAAAAAAAGTTCAACTAGTCTTGTTACCAAACATTTTAAACTCAGTATCTTTATTTCAGACTTCAAAATGACTAATAAAGTTTAACTGACAGTGAATATGAGAAGACAATGGTGTAATATGGCTATTGAGCAAAAACCTTTACATCTGTGTTAATCAGAACACTGCAGGCATACTTTATTTATTCTGGCTATGGACTTCTTGGTTTGACAGGTAGTAGAGCTTGCTACTACCACAATCTTTCTCTCAGCATTCTGCTATGTAGTATTCCCAGCCTCCCTTGCAGTAAGGCATGGCATACAACTAAGCCAATGGAATGTGATAGGAAACGATATATGCCACTTTTCAGATCAGACACATGCAAGAGTGTCTTTCCAGCTGGCTGGAATGAAAGAAATCTGGAAAGGGACATGGTGAAAATGAGAAAACTCTTTCAGCTTAACTGAGTGACTGCAAGGTAAAAGATCCACTAGTCTAGTTATCAGCCTAGGACTAAGACCAAGAAAGAAGCTTCTACTTTATTAGTAATTCTAACGAATATGTCATATCATAGAATAAATTTTTAATGCAAAGAAGCCTGAGCCAGAATGGAGACAGAAATGAACATAAAAGAATACTCCAATATACAGAGCCGTTATTATAGAGACACGTTAGGCTGTGTATGTGCTATCAGGGAAAACAGAGGTTAAGAAATGGGAGCCTTAAAATAAACTGGATTTTTAGGAATCAGAATAAACAAACAGAATTGTGTAGAAAGTGCTTCAATATAGGTGGTATATCCACCTAAAAGAAAGGCTGTAAACCAGAGTCCAGAACTAGATAATTAACTGAACTAGAAACTTTTAGGAGGCTATAATATATACTTAATGATCATTTCCCAGCTTATTAACCTTCCAGTTTCATTATCAATATTAAAACAGAGTCATCAACTGTCCTCTTTTCTTCCCAGTCTGCCCTTTTCACAAACACTGATCTAGCCACCTAGGCCTCCCTGTTATTTTTTTCAGCATTCCAGACATAGCTCTGCCAAAGAGCCTCTGCCAGAAACATTTTTACCTCAAAGAGTTCACTGCCTTACAATTGTTTAGGTGTTTGTGCAGATACTCCTCACTGAGGTCTTACTTAGACTATTTAACAGTGACTCTACCCACACTCTTGGCAGTTAATAGCTAGTTATTTCTCCATAACAAGTTGCCATTATATATTTTAAAAATGTATTTATTTCTCTTTCCCTTTCAATTAAAATGTTAGTCCTTTATCTGTAAGGAAGATTTTTTTTTGTCTATATGGTTTATGTGCCTAGAACTACACCTGCACTGAGTGCTTAGTAAGTATTTCTTTAACAAGTATTTGAATCTTTTTACTAATGTTTAAGAACTGTGCAAACAAATTTTATCAAAGGTATGAGAAAAACACTTATTAAGTTCATTCATTTAAAAGAAAATAAGCAAGTTGGGTGTGGTGGCATATGCTTATGGTCCCAGCTAATTGGGAGGCTGAGGTAGACTGCTTGAGGTCACGAGATTGGGGCTGGCCTGGGGAATACAGCAAGACCCTCTCTTATAAAACAATTAACCAAAATTAAAAATAAGAGAAATGTCAGCATAATAAAAAACACACATTAAGTCCGTAAAATGCTTATAATGTACTCTCTAAAAATACAAAATTGGGAAAAAGTTTCTGACCTCATGCGCTATGCATTCTGGTAGAACAGAGTTGAACAGATCAATAGTGAATGGCAGACAGTGATAAAAATAAAGCAGGGAGGTAGAAAAGGGAGTGATGAGTAGAGGAGCTATTGCTGTATTGAGAAAGACTGGTCAGCATGAACTTTTTTTTTTAACTACTAGTAGCTGTTTGAATTGGCACAAAATTGGAGAGTAGTTTGGTACTATACTGTGGGGGCCGGTGGTGTGGTTCAAGTGGTAGCACATTTCTCTACCAAGCACAAAGCTTTGAGTTCAAACCCCAGTACTGCCACCCCCCCGCCACTTATAAGTGTATATACTCTTTCAGCTATAGCTAAAATCCACAGAGCAGTGCTTATAATAAATTAAACATGAGGCTGCTCACTGTAGCGGTTCAATAGGAAAAAAATTATTAAACAAATCACTGATCAACAGGGGTTTGAATTAATAAATTACAGTACATCAAGGTAATGAAAAGGTCATAGAGCTCTTAAAAAGAAGGAGACTTAAGTATCAACAAATACAAAAGACACATTCTTTCCCCTCAGCGTTGGGAATGGAACCCAAGGCCTCACACATGCTAGGCATAAGGCTCTACCACTGAGCTATATCCCCAGCCATAAGACAGACTGACAGATAGTGATATGAATCATAGAATACCATTTTATAAAAGAAAACATTTATATTTCCACACACATTGTCATCCTATCCCTATAAAATTACCTCTTCGGGCAGAGCAGAATGTGGTTTATCAGAAGTTGCGAGTAGTAAAACTGGAGCAAATGAAGGAATATTATGCAATAATGTGGTAAATGTGGCTTTGAGTGTTGGCCCAACTATTTCCCACCACAGGTGGATATGTGGAACATATACTATACTCGGTGCCGTCCTCTTGGCTTCACGAATCATCTAATAAAAAGGAAACAAATATGCAGTTTTACAGTCAGTGCATTAGTAATCCCAGCTCCATTAGCCTGAAGTCATGTTTAATTTCCTAGAATTATCATATAAAACCCTCAAGTTTTTTTTAATTTTTATTTTTGACAGTACTGGGGGTTTGAACTCAGGGACTCATGCTTGCTAGGCAGGCGCTCTACAACTTGAGTCACTCTGCCAGCCTCTCAAGTTTTTTTTAAATGCCTCTTTCCAAAAATCTTACAAGTGTTAAGTGTTTCATATAAAACAGCTCAAGAAATCTAGGAGACTGTTCTGCTGTAGGAACAAAGGTTAACTTTTTATATCAAAATATTAAACATAAATTTAGTAACAACAGAAAGTACAGAATGTCTAAGCACTTAAATAGCAGTTATTGTTTTAAGTACTGTATTCACTTAATTCTCACAATAGCCATATTATTATCATATCTATTTTGCAAATAATGAAAACGAGACAGAGAGACCTAGTAACTTTCCTAAGGTCTTAACTTTCCTAAGAGCTTATTTATTTGAGCAACAACAAGTTACCTGGGCACATGTTTCTTCAGGGGATGTAGCACTAACTCCAAAAAGAATAGGAATATCTAATGTATATACAGTAAATTTTTCCAAAGCATGGATGACAGCTGGTGCCAAGTGAGAACCCTGCCCAAATCCTGGTTCTCCCACTATCAACATTCTTGGTCGAAAAGATATAGGTTGGTAACAGGCATTTCTGAAAAAACAATTCATAAGCTATATTTTAGAAAAATTAGTTTAACTATTTTCCCCAAATTACCAATTTATAAATCTTCGTAAGTCTATGCCTATCTATATACCCAGAAATCATCAAACATGGTTGACAGTTTCTGGTAGTCACTAAGTCCCATGGATTCTTAGAAATACTTTTATAATAGTAACAACTGTAACAACAAATAAATTTCTAATACTTTAACCTAAATAAAAAAACTGTGTGTGTAAGTGGGGAGAGGTGAAAGAGAGAGAAGGGGTGAATATAAAGAACTTTATATGTATGTATGAAAATAGAGTAATGAAATGTTAAAATTGTTTTAAAACGCTAAGAGGAGGGATGAGAAACAGTACTAGGGGATTGTATTTGATCAAAGTACATTGTATGAACGCATGGAAATACCACAATGAAACCCCTTTGTACAATTAATATGTACTAATAAAACATATATGCACATATAAAGCAGACTGGTTAGCCTCTTAAATCTCATTAACCAAATCTCACTTATTTTTAGGGAATTTGCATTAAAAAAACTCACATAAGGGAGAACATACCTATTCAAATGAAGAAAATTAAAATTTTCTTTTGCCTTATTGAAGGATTTTTGAGAAAGCCCATTTTCACATACCGGTGGAGCATCATCATCACTGTAAACCAAGTCACTTTCTAGCAGAGGACAAGAAATATCTGCAAAACAAGAACCAAACTTTATGTCATGCTTTAGTGAGCACATCAGTACACCTTAATGAAAACTTTTCAAGAATCAAAAATATCTGTGCAGTTAGGAATATCAAGTAAATATAAAAATGCTTTCAAAACTTAAAATGGGTTAAATTAATCTGTGAAATAAATTTCCTTCAAATAGAAACATTTCTGAGAAGTATAAAAACATTAACTTTACCAATTATGCAAACTAACTTTCAGTGGTCAATTAAGTTTTATACCTGAGGCTAATGATTTATTTGCTCCAATTTCTGCATGTGGAAATACTCTCTGTAAGGCTTCTAAGATCTTGTGAACAGTACTTTGCAGGAGTGGCTTCACAATGGCAGACAGTGCCTGCCCAGGTGATGTCACAGCTCTCTGGGAGGCTGGGACCATCTTTTGCATAGCTACTTCAAAATCCTTAGCTGAGATATTGATTGAAGAGAGATCCAACTGTAGCTTCTCGCTAGTGGTATAGATCTGTGGGTAGCGTCGACGTAGGGCACACAATGCAGCTTCGGCACATATTGACTTTATATCCGCACCACAGTATCCTACCAAAAGCAATAAACAAGCAAATAAAACCTCAAACTCAACTAACATGGTCATAAAGGAAAATTAAAAAATCAGCCTAGCTATCTAGTAGTAACAAGGCTAAAATTTCTCATTTACATAGTGAATGTATATGGTGGTAATAACCATCACACATCAATCAACTTGTGAGTGAAATATGCAGGTACTAATCTGAGTTTCCAAATCAGACTAAGTTCAAATTCTAGTCTATCATTTACTGTATCTTTGGAGAGCCACTTAGGCTCTATAAATGTTTCTTATCTGTAAAGTGGAGATCATGCTACTTAATTCACAGGACTAATGTGAAAATTCCATGAGGTAATATATACAGGAATTTAAGAGAATGACTAGGATAATGCAAATGGTCAACAAAGGATGACTATTATTAGTGTGATAATGTGCTCTAATTTTCCCAATGGCCAATCTGGCAAATATATGTATTTAAGATCTTGGACTTTGGAGATGAAAACATGCCACAAGTAAGAGATGAGAAACAAATATAACCTTGTAGAGTTTTGTTTTTTTGGATACATATCTTACTATACAGTCCAGGCTGACCTGGAACTTGTGAGCACTGTTTTCCTCTCCCAAGTGTGGGATCCCATGCCACCACGCCTGGATAACCTTGTGTTTCTTTAAACATAATGTTGCAAGACCACAACTTGTTCCATCTTTGAAATTAACATTTCTTTTAACTGTTTAAAACAATGTTTACCAACACAGTTTTCTGCTAGTTCTTCTAGAAATAAGTCCAGTGGTTTGGGATTCCAATCCCTTGTGTGAATCTTTAGAATCTCTTTTCGAGCCTATGAATAAAAACAAGTTTTTTTATAACTATAATAATGAAGTGGTATTCAGATTAGAGTAATTTAAACTATTTTGAGTTTTCTAAAATTTTGTAATAATGCTTAATATAAACAGAAGCATAAAACAGTAAAAATGAAAAAAGAAGTATCTGTAAGAGTTTAAATTCTGGAGCATATTAACTATAATAAGACAATTCTACCCATATTTTCTTATATGGTTCTCAGAAGCCTTCCGTGGCTTTAACAGGCTGGAATTACATGACGGCATTCAGGAAAAACCCAAGACTAATGAATTAGCTAAAGACTGATAGCTCATTAAGCTACTGAAGCAAAACTGACAATATCCCATGGCTGTGCTGAAATTAAAAGATGAAGAGTAATTTTAGAGGGACACTATAATACTAAAGTATAAAAGATTATCCCCATTTGAGTTCTTTTGAACTAACATTTGATAATATCATGATACAAAACTGAAGGATCTTCAAAATTTGATGTAAAAAGTTAAGTGATGCTAAATTCTTACATCTTTATCAGGTAGGCTAAAAAGAAATTCTCTGTCAAAGCGTCCAGGCCTTCGTAAAGCAGGGTCTATGGAATCTAGTCTGTTGGTAGCCCCAATGATCACAATTTCTCCTCTGCTGTCCAGACCATCCATAAGAGCTAGGAGGGTGGAAACAATAGAACTAAAGGTGAAAAATAAGAGAAAAGAGATTAATACTATGGACACAGAACACATTATTTAGTAATATTTTTGAGGGGTAAGACTTAAAATGCATTAAACATGAGAACAAGTTTTTTTAGGGGACATAGTCAACTTCTAGTGGATTGAAAAAAAATCTATAAAATACTTATTGGCATTTAGAAACTGAAATAGGAAACATAAATGGTCTGTAAAGGACCACAAATGGATTCTGCAAGTCACTTCATGAAGCACAATTTCTCAAAGGAACTGGAAAGTTCCAAATCAGGGACACAACATTAAAAAACAATAGTTCCATATAGGACAAACAGTATCTAAAAATGGTAACACATACCATTATATGTACATTATCAAAAAAAGGACACCAAAAGAAAGTGAAATATGCATAAAGCATTAGAAAAGGATTTTCATTAAAACAATCTCCATTTCTTCATCACCCACCTTCAACAACTGTCAGTACTCCTTTATTTGTCTCTACCTAACTGCTTTAAAAAACAAAAAACAAAATCAAACCTCAGACATAACATTTAACCTATAAATACTCCATGAAATTCTTCATGTGTATACTTTTAAGAGATAAGGACTTTAAATCTAATTTCCTCAGATTCATCTCTCTCTCCCTCTCCCTCTCTCAATCCTGGGGACCAGGCACATGCCAGCCAAGCACTGTACCACTGTGCTAACCCTCAGAAGGTCTTTTTGCGTTTGGTTTGTTCAATGGAGGATAACAGAAGAGCTGTTACACACTGGCCATTTAACCTAAATCCTCAACTGTTTCTACTGTCCCAGTCTCCCCCCTATGCTTCCATGCCATTCCCTTGTTGAAGAAACTGGGTCATTTGTCATGTGTATTTCCCTTTTAGATTTTGGACTGGGCCGACTGTTTCCTGGTGGGATCATTCATCTTGTCCCTCTGTCCTCCACATGCTTTATAACTGATAGCTAGATCTAGAAACTTAACAGATGCAGGTCAAGTCATTTCTGACAGCACAGCTCATAGGAAGATACTATGTACTTTCTACCAAATCACTGTTGGAGGCACTTGATATACCAGTTTCCCACTGAGATCAACCAGTGGGTTGCAGTTATGTGAACTGTTATTAGCATACTCTACCCACATACCATACACTTAAGCTATGCCATTTCTACCTTACCCCTTTAGCACATGCTCATAATTATCATTTAAATCAAGGTTTCTCAACCTCAGCACTGGTGACAGCCGAAAATGTCACTAGACAAACGTCTGGTACAAAAATCATCCTACTTAAAACACAGGTCTAGATTTATAAGAGGTTGCAAAATGGTGATTTTCTGATTCAATTCTTCCATTTAAGCAGTGATTTACCTGTAAAAAAAAACCTCATTACTCCATCAACTATTGTATTACCCTGAATTATGATCTATATAGGTTTGGTTCTTTCCCTTTATTATCAACAAGTTAATGATGTAGCACCCTCTGGGGTGACCAACTAGATTAAAAAGCAAAAATTGATGTTTTTTCTGACCTGGGGATGTAGCTCAGTGATAGAGCACTTGCAAGGAACATTGCAAGGAACTGGGTTTGATCTCCAATACCACAAAAAACAAACAAACAAACTGAGGGGCTAGGCATGGTGGCATATGACTGGAGATGAAGAGGTTTGCAGTTTGAGGCCAGCCTAGGTCAAAAATTAGTGAGATTTCATCTCAACAAATAAAGCTAGGCATGGTGGTACATGTCTGTAATCCCAGCTATGAGGGAGAATGATCATCATCTAAGCCAACCGGGACAAAAACATAAGATCCTACTGGAAAAATAACTAATGCAAAAAAGGGCAGTGGGCATGGCTCAAGTGATAGTGTCTGCAGGCATGAAGCTGTGAGTTCAAACCTCACTATCATACACACACACACACAAATTATTTTTCCTGTATTTGACACATTTTAAACTATTTTAGTATTTATTTCTGATGTTCAAACTGTCCCATCTTTGGCCAGTGGGAAACCTGAAATTGGATCCTATGTTTTTTTTTTAAAGATAGGGCTTTACAACATGGCCCAGGCCTCCAACTAGCAATCCTCCTGCCTCCAAATCTGGGATTACAGGTGGGTGCTATCACGCCCAGCTCTGTCATTCTTACATTTGTTGATTGTTCCCTTGCTTCCAGGTATTACAAGATATCCCAGGCTTGTGTTGCTTATCTCTTGCTTCACTGGTACAACTGGCCATCTCTCCTGAGTCCTAGGATCAGAGACCATATTCTAGGGACTAGAGACACTTAACTGCTGTTGGAACTGTGATGCTTCTAGGCTGTTTAGAGTTAAGAATTATTTTGTCTTTATTAGGAAAACAATTTATCTTGAGTTCATATTGCTATTTCCAATCCAAAGTAAAAACTTTAGGGTTTTAAATTAGCTCTTAAACTTTATATTTGTATTTCCTTCTCGTAAGCTGAAAATCTTATTTACCAACAACGTTCATGTGCAATAAGATGCAGAGCACAATTTAATCACCTTTAACATACTAAATCCTAAAACACTGTTCACTTTCAGATTCTAAGACTTTGATTTAAAGAAACAAAACTTGTAAATTTCTCTTAAAATACATATGTATATAGCTGGCTGTGGCAATGCATGCCTATAATCTCAGCACTAGGAAGGCTGAGACAGTACTGTTGCCGGTCTGAAGTCAGTCTAGGGTACATAGAGACCCTGTCTCAAAAACCCAACCAACCAAACAAATACATCTATGCATATATTTGAATGGCATGTCTTTGCTTGCTATAATTACTCTTTAATTTCTAAAAAAATTCCTCCCATCTCTTAAGAATTGTCCCAATTGATTTGACTGCAAAGTGATGACAGTATTGTCATGTTTCTCCCTGTTGACACAATGAAGTCAGTGTGAACTGATAATGAGCCTTGTCATATATAGGAAGTTTATATGATTACTAACAGGGCATGTATAGATAAAACTTGTCACCACGGTACTCTACATTTCAATGTAGTCAGCAACAAATGAAATTGTCTAACATCAAGAAGGCCATCAGAGGACAGAAGGACAAAGGTGGCCATCAGAACACAGTAAATACTGTCAGACACTGGAAAAGTCAGAACCTACCTGGCAATCACATCGTTATTACGTTTCCTGTATTACCTCTAATACAAAACAATCCTAGCATATATGAAGGCACAGAAACACGTGCTTTAGGGTATCCCAAGTTAACTAAGTAATTATGTCTAACTCATGAGACCACTGGGAAAGCTCTGGAAAAGATGAATCAGAACTAAAAGCAGCTTCAGCCAGGGATGTGGCTCAGTGGTAGAATGCTTGCCGAGCATGTGTGAAGCCCTGGGTTTGGTCCCCAGTACCAAAAAAGGGGAGGAGGGAAGTAATTTAGATTCAAGTGGGACACAGGAATTAAGAAAAATGCTCCCTTGGATAAACACCTACTCATGGGGGACAGGTGCAGTCAAGGCTGGCTAGTATTAGCATCTTAAACAAGTATTAATGCCCTAAGACATATTTTGTTTCGTCTAGGCAATGTCTTAAAGCATCTGAAGCGGGACATAGCAGTTCATGCCTGCAATCCCAGCAATGGGGATGAGGGGAAGGAGGATCAGAAATTCAAGACCCTGTGTTTAAAAAAAAAAAAAAAAATCACTTGGCAACATTTAAGTATAAAATTTGAGAAAGCAAATCTATTTCTTAGGTCTCAGTTTCTGCATAGCAATAAAGGGCTGGAGCTCAAGCTAACTGGCTGTGCTCTAGCACTAGGGTCACTTAGCCATATTTACCACCACAACTTGATTTTTACCATTGGCCTTGCTCACCCACTTCCTGTGCCTTACCCCCTGGCCCATGGACAGCTGTTTGTAAGTGAATTAAATCTTCTATAACCAAGATTTGAAAGCTTTATTTAGAATGCTCTGACTCTCAGTAAAGGTTCAATGCTTTTCTTTTTCTATTGTGTTTAGGGTTCTATTAGCCAAAAAAAGAGAAACTTCTGGTTTGTTAAATGGTGAAAGAAACATTCACCATTAACATTCCATCTCTCAAATAACATCAAAACAGCTCAAAATATAGGAAGAAAAGTATGAGTGTCATCGAGCAAGTTTTACCTGTGAATCTGATCTTGCCTGCTTGACCGTACTGGAGCCAAACCATCTATTTCATCAAAGAAAATAATTGATGGGCGCATCTGATAGGCCTAAAAGCAGGTCCAGTGGTCACTTGTTATAATAAAAAACCTCAAATATGTAGATTTAATACAAACCAACTTAATCCAATTTCATTCAAACTTGCTTATCAAAACATAATTTATAAATCTATATAAATACACCATTGCAATCTATTTTCATTCAAACTTGCTTACCAGAAGTTATTTGTAATATATAACAATATAATTTATAAATCCAAGAAGTATTTTCAGACTTAGACTAAATTATAACATATGGTCAATTTTCTTTGAATTTTCAATTGGAACATCCAAAATATATACCCCACTAGTTACATAGAGTCCATACAGCTGTAGCTACTGGCTCACACAGAGAAATATCTTTAAAGACTAACTGTGGAGACAAAGACTAGAAGACAGCTACACATTCTACCTTCATGTTAGGATGGAAAAAATTACTTTGCAAAATGCCATAGATTTTTAAAAAACCTATTTCAGTAAAGATAAAAGAACCTCACAGAGTTCCAAAAAGAGATTTAAAAGCATTTTCAGCAATATGTCTCAGTAGAGCAGAATGTATTATCTCCCAATATGCTGTCAACACAATCTGGAAAATGAAACTGAAAGCCTCTGTAGGGTAAAACTGTTCAGCATTCACACAGAGACATGACTCACCAAGTATGAGACAACCTCTCTCACGCTAGGTATTAGACCTAAGACTCCAAAGAACTTAGATCCAATCATTCTTTTTCTTTTTTTACTGCATAGTTGTTCACTGTAGGTCAGTGTTATCTTACATATAAAAAGTAGAATAATCTCAAAACATTGTATTATTTGGTACAGTTCTTCTGAACTTATTTTTATGAAATGTTGATTAAGAGACTTCTCTAATCCTTATATATTTACACTTGCTTAATTATATAACTACCCAGAGAATTAAAATTTATTATCGTACCTGATCAAACAGCAATCGCAGCTGCCTTTCCGACTCCCCTACCCATTTACTCAGACAATCAGCACCTTTTCTCATGAAAAATGCAACTCTTTTCTCCCCTTGACTGCACTCATTGGCAAGTGCTCTAGCAACCAGAGTTTTTCCAGTTCCAGGTGGACCATAAAACAAACACCCTCTGTAAAATAATGTTACATATTTTAATACTTAGTTAAAAAGTACAGTGTTGAAACAAAAATTAGGAACCAACTTCATGAATTCATTTAATTAGTGAACAAAAAAGTAGGGCACGGTGATGTACCCGTCACCTAATCGGGAGACAGAGGTAGGAGGATGGAGTCCGGGGCCAGCCTGGGCAAAAGCAGAAGATCCTATCTTTATAAAAACAAAGCAGAAAGGGCTGGGGCATGGCTCAGGATTAGAGTGTCTACCTAACAAGTGCAAGGCCCTGAGTTCAAATCCAGTACTGATTCCTCTGCCCCCCCACATTAAAAAAAAGGTATAAGACAAGTGAAATATAATTCCACAACGACAACTTAAAACCTAGGAGTTAATATTGATAAAATTAATAAAGAAACTAAATAAAACCCTTCACTTGAAATACACTTTCTTTTATTCATTTATCATAGTCACCATATTATCTTACCCTGCATATGCAATCATATAACAATCACATAAATCAAAAACATCTTTTCTTAAGGAATAAGGTCTTGCTATTTAGCCCAGATTGGCATTGAACTTGGGATTCTCCTGCCTGGACTCCTGCATAGTGGGATTACAGTCATGTACCAGCACACTGGCACATAATTCAAATTTTATAGGGGGTAAGAATATGTATTTTAAGGAAGGAGAAATACAGAAAAAATTTGACTTTATTTCTTTTGTACTCATTAACTTATTTTAGACATTTCCTGTAAGAAATAAATGCTATTTAATGTTAACACTTGTTAAATTTTTTCAATTATAAAGTTCACTTTAAAATTCACATGCTTAACTGTGATTGATTTATTAATAACTTTATACATTATTTTTACAGGGTAAAGGGAAAAAAGCTTACTAATTTAAAAAAAGTTTACAAATAGTGTTTTTGTATTGAGTGATTCAGGGAGAAAAGTTGTATAGGAAATAATCAATAAAAGTGTGAGAAGTACAAGCAGCAATAGTAGGACAGCACAGATTATGGTTAAACTGAAAAGTGTAACTTGATTACCTTGGGGGTTGAATTTTGAATTTTTCAAAGACCTCAGGGTAAAGTAACGGAAACACTACCATTTCTTTAAGAGCTGCAATATGGTTAGACAGCCCACCAACACTGTCAAATCTCACCTGGCAATGGAAGAAAACATCGACAAGTTTAGAACATCACCCTATGTCTAAACAATGCCAACCCGCACGTAATTAACAGTTAATTATTTAATTAGTTGTGGCCCAAAGATTTTTAAAAAAATGCTTATAAAGTTTAAAGTTTCTGACGAGAAATAAGTTCCTTTTTTAACTTTAAAATTAAAGTAAAACAAAGAATACAATAGATTAGGTGAAGCACACATTTCAAATTAAGAGTACTCACTGATGAATCTAGTTGCATTGGATCAACATCAGCAAGGCTTGCTCCAATTTTCATTCGATCTTTATAAATTCCCCTTACTTCATCTTTCCGAAAATTTAAGGGTAGGCATCTATTTAAAAAAGATAAAAAAAAAAAAAAAAGACACCTATCAACACACCTTCCTCCCCAAATTAGAATATTAATCTTAATTAAATCATGAATTTCAACTTCCTTATTTTCTTTATAGGCCTTAAACTTAAATGTTAGAAATACTTAAATCCAAAGCTTTATTATTAAAGACACACAATCAAATGATAATATCAAATGACCAAGATGCCATAGCATCATAAAGTAATTCGTGGTGGAGAATTCAGACAATACTGATATACATTATAATGCTGTATCTAACAAACAGTATTTACAACTTGCAAGATGCTGTCTTAGTTTTGGATGCTTTACTTGTACTAAGTCACTAAATCCTTATAACAGAGATAGGTATTACTATTTTCCTCATTTTAAAAGAAAACCGTGGCACAGACGAGGTACTTAATTTGCCTAAGTCACTAAACTGGTAAGTGATAGAGCTAGGAATAAAACAGAAGCACTCTGTCTCCAGACCTGTGACAACTCTGCTATGCTATAATACCTCTTCACAGAATTCTTATAATCCACCAGCATCTGGAGCCACATCAATCCTCTCACTAGTTTCCTAGAATATTTTATAGATGGAAAAATTAAGATTGTCTATGCTACAGAAGATACTTATACTACAATGCCTAAGCAAAGACTGACTGTGGCAACTGAACACAAGTAATGGCATATCATACTTGCCTAAGTGAAAATTATTGCTAATTTCAAATTTCACGAGGAACTTAAATGATGCATAGTAATTATAAATGGTCAAGCATGAGGCCCCGAGTTCAAACCTCAGAACTGCCCCCCAAAATTATAAATGTTTATGGAGTACAGTGTGATGTTTTGATACATGTATACATTATGTGATAAGCAAACTGGGATATTCAGCAACTCTATCACCTCATATATTCACCATTTCCTTGTGGTAAGAGTACTGGAAATTCTCTCTTGTAGCTATTTTGGTATATTTAATACAATATTATTAACCACAGTCACTCTGTGAGAGAACAGTGCCATGAGGAATTTATGCTGAGAAATTTAAGATGGACAAATTTTTAATTGTAGCGTCCCGAAAGGTATTTCTTAAATAATTCTTGAATATGCAGCTTCAGGATGATATGATTCATTGCTGTCCAACAGACATGAAATATAAGCCACAAATGTAATTTTGAATTTTCGATTAGCAACACTAAGCAAACAAACAAAAATGCCAAAGTAAAATATTACTTTATTTATCTTAATATACCAAAAATAATTGTTTTAACATACAATTATTTTTTTTCTTTGTTTGACACGGGGTCTCGCTATGTAGTTCAGGCTGGCCTATAACTCATGATGCTCCTGTCTCGGCCTCCTGGATGCTGGAGTCTACAATCAATTATTTTCAAAAATTCAGCTATTTTATATTCTCTTTTTTTTGTATTAACTGTTTGAAACCTAAGTATGTATTTTATACAAAGACTTAAGAGTATATCTCAATTTGAACAAATTACACTTCAAATTCTCAACAGCCACATAGGTTAGTGTATACTGTAGTGAACAGGGCAGATTTAACATGGTAAGAATAGAGCTTAGACTACAAAAGTTCCTTGCACGGCCCTTTAATTATTATTTTCAGTTGCTCTGTCAAGCACTTTTCTTTACTATAGAATTTTTTTTGGCGGAGGTATGGGGGGGCAGGTCTGAGGTTTAAACTCAGGGCCTCATACTTGCTAGGCAGGTTTTATACCACTTGAGCCATTCCTCAAGCCATTATTTTCTGCTGGAAATTATTTATCTTATTTTATACTTAAAAAAAAAAATCTACCTATCTATCTATCTGGCAGCACTGGGGTTTGAACTCAGGGCCTCATGCTTCCTAGGCAGGCACTCTATCACTTGAGCCATCTGCCAGCCCTATTTTTGTGGTAGGTTTTTTGGAAATACATTTTCATGAACTATTAGGGCTTGCTTCCAACTGTGATCCTCCTGATTTCTGCCACCTGGATAGCTAGGATTATAGGGTAAGCAATCAGCACCGGACTCTGCTGGAAATATTTAAAAATATTGAAAGTATTAAAAATATTAGAATCTAAGCATTTCATTTTCATTCATCCACCCCGATCTGTAAAATGAGAGTAATTCCTGACCTATTTCATGTAATTATTATGAAAATCAAGAGGACTTGATGTGGACTTAAACTACAAGGAGTTATGATATGAGTAAAACATTCAATTTCCCTAAGTGGGAAAAAAAGTATATTTGAAATTAAAAAAAAGTTATTCCCTAAAGTCAATGTTCACAAGCCTCACTGAAGACTATATGATAGTGTGGCAAGAAATCATAACATTATATTCTAACCTATTATTTGTTTCAACTGTAGGTATTTCTAATAAGACAGTAGAGTGGTTTATACAGTCAGCCAAGCAGTAACTATTTTTGAATTATTCTTTTTTATCACCATTAAAAAAAGAATCACTGATAGAATTCGATCAAAGTACATTATACACATGTATGGAAATATCACAATGAAACCTCTCTGTACAGATAATATATGCCAAAAAAAAGAAAAGAATCACTGGTAGTTTAAAAAGTCATCGATATAGTACTCACCTATTGATAGCTCTATTACGGCTCCTTTTCCTTCGCCTCTCAAAGTGTTGCTCATCTTCAGAAGAGGAAGAAGAAGTAGAGTCACTACTGTGGATTGCATGCCTTCGCCTAAAGTGAAGAGGAAAACTGCAATCATGATGGGGGAAGGCAGGGAAAAAAAGGCATAGGCCATAGTAATCAGAAATACTTAATCATTCAGAAAGGCTTATCATAAACTTAATATATTTGCTGAAACCTTGTACTATGCTTTATTGATTGAGTCTTTTGGAGGTAATAAAAGACTTGGACAACTGAAAGGAAGGAAAATAAAGGATACTGTGGTAAAGCTGATCATCATGCTCATTAACAGATGGTCCACACAGAGTGACTTTTTAGTCCTGATATAAATTAATAATTCTCAAAAAAAAAAGAGAAAAAGAGAGTATTAGAATCTGTGGTATTATAATTTGAAAGAGCATACAAGATCTGGGTTCAATTCCCAGCCCAGTCAAAAACCCAAATCAAAACAAAAAGCTGGCAAACAATAAGGACTAAGATGGCTTTTTATTTATACTATATCATCAACTGTAAATTGACAACTCAACTCCACCATCGAGCAACTGTATTAATGTGGATGAATTATCAAAGCCATGTGTTTTCTTACAAAACAGTAAAAATAATATCAAATTCTTTAGACTGCTTAGTAATATTAAATAAGACACTTAGTGCTACAAATAAAAATATTTTTTAACCACTTTTACATTTGGACAGTTGCAAAAGCCAAAAAAAAAAAAAAAGAATCTGGCGGGTAAAACTTAAAACTTTTAATCATTCTACTGGCTCAGGGTCTACAACTTTTCCTGAGTCAGAGTATAATCACGAGAAGTAGATTCACAATCTATTATTTGCATATTGCAGGTCCACAATCTCTTATCTTAAAAACAAAAACTGTAAACTACTAGTCTTTGAATTATTCACTTAGCAGCAAAAACCATGACCTGAAATGGCACAAGTGGATGCTATCTGTCCACTTATTATGATTATTACTGTTTTTACTGCAGAATTAACATATCTAACTATGCAGTAATGGCTCAGGCAACTCTAGAGATGTTAGTTACACACTATATACGTTATATGTTACCTCTGTAAATATACCCAAAAAATCTAAATTCTGAAATGCAAAGGGCCCCAACGGTTTTGGATAAGGTTTATGAAATCTCAAAAATAAGAGAACGTAATCCTCAACTTATCTACACATTCAATATTATTTTTGTGACCAGCTTATAACTAAAATTATCTAGTATATGTCACAATATTAAATTGAAGACTAACTTATTTAATGTTATCATTAATATTAGACTCTAAAGCTTCTATGTAATTGTATGTGAACTTACTATGAATTCACGGAATTAAGATAAATTTCACAATGAATAAAAAAGGACTAACACTTAGTGACTCTTTCATATACTTATTTGACATATTACTTCATATAAAACTCACCCTCTCCTTATAGTGCTAGAGATTGAACCCAGGATCTCAGACATGCTAGGCAAATGCTCTACCTCTGAGCTATACCCCTAGCCCTCTCACTTAATCTCAATTAAAATTTTGGACGAGTATATTATCAGTAAGCTCGTTTTACGGACAGGGCTAATGTGGTTCAAAGGTTAGATAACTTGTTCAACAAATGAAAATTAAATCATTGATAGTGCCAGAATTCAAATCTATGCCCATTACCAAAATCTACATTGTACATATAACTACACTGGTGATTTCTAATTTTTTACTTCACAAAGCAGTAAAAAATTTTAAGCAAACAACAATGATGTGCATGAACATCAGGTATTGCGGTCTGGACATGAATCATCTCCCTAAAAGGCTCATATGTTGAAGGATTGGTCCCCAGCTGGAGGCACTATTGATGGGTTTACAGCTTAATTATTAGGAGTAGGGCCTGGTTAGAAGAAGTAGATCACTGGGGGGTGTGGCTTTGAAGGATATATCTCATCCCTAGCCTCTTCCTCTCTTTCTGCTTCCTAGTCATGAGGTGAGTAGCCTCTTCTGCCACACTCCCACCATGATGCTCTGTGCCATAAATACTAAAAGCAGTATCAAATGATGCTTTGGAGATGTGACTTATTTCCATGCCTCAGCAACTGCATGAGCTATAAACAAGCTGGTCTCTTCAAGTAAAAGTGCAAAGGCTAATAAGCAAAATGACTACATTAAGGCTGTTAGAAGAGATAAGATCTTCACATGGCCTTTTCAAAAAAGTCAAAAATAAAAGGGAGCTGGGTGCTGGTGGCTTACACCTGTAATCCTAGCTACTCAGGAGGCAGAGATCAGGAGGATCACAGTTTGAAACCAGCTTGGGTAAATAGTTCTTGAGACCCTATCTTGAAAAACCTCATCACAGAAAAGGGCTGGTGGAGAGGCTCAAAGTGTAGGCCCTGAGTTTAAACGCCAGTAACGCAGAGAAAAAAAAAGCTGGAAGAGTGGCTCAACCAGTAGAAGAGTCTGCCTAGCAAGTGGTGCGAAGCCCTGAGTTCAAACCCCAGTATCACTCACTCACTCACTCACTCTCTCTCTCTCTCTCTCTCTCTCTCTCACTCACACACACACACACACACACACACACACACACACACACACACACACACACACACACACACGGCAACCGTGGAAACAAATGTCTGTCAACCAATAAATGGATGAATAGAACGTGCCTATCCATATGATGGAATGTTATTTGGAATAAAAAAGAATGAAGTATTGATATGTGATACAACAAGTCAAAGAAACCAGCAGCAAAAAGATTCCACTTTTAAGGAATACTCGAAATAGGCAAGTTAGCCAGAAAGTAAAATTGTCAGGCACGATAGCTCATGCCTGTAATCTTAGCACTCAGGAGGCTGAGGCTGGCAGAGCCCAGTTCCAGACTAGCCTGGGTTACAGTGAGACCCTGTCTCAAAAAACTTCAAACAAAAAAAATAAAGTAATGGTTGCTTGGGGCTGGAGGGATTGGGAGACTGTAGGGTGATCACTGAAGAATCAGGGTTTCTCTCTGAGGTGATGAAATGTTTTTAAATGACTTGTACAATTTAAATAGATAACCTGTATGGCATATTCATTATTGCACTAAAGCTGGGTTTTTTTGTTACACAAAAAATAAGTTTAGAGAGATTATAAAAACCAATACATGTCAGGTGCTGGTGGTTCATCCCTATAATCCGGGCTACTTGAGAGGCTGAGATCAGGAGGATCGCAGGTGAAGGCCAGCTTCGGCAAATAATTTGAGAGACCCAAATAGAACAATATGGACTGGAAGTAGGGCTTCAGTGGTACAGTGCCTGCTTTGCAAGCGTGAAACCCTCATTCAAACCCTATTCCCACCAAAAACAACAAACCCCAAGGTTAGCAAGTTAAATAATGTGACCCAGGACAGCTTTCATCTTTTAATCCATGCTTCAATTTAAACTTAAAATGGCAAAATCCTCCACTAGTCTATCAGATCAAGGGAAGGAACTCTGCCTTACTCATTTTTATATCCATTGTGCTTGGCACTTGGTAGCACTCAAACATCTGTTAAATAATTGGAGGAGTAAAAAAATTCCTGTACCAAGTAACTACTAATTTTTCACAGGGATATCACTAGATATCAGAAACTTATAAGCAAAGGTATCTCCTCCCAATACTACTTTCTGCAAGACACACTGTTAACTGCAAAGCTAGTACATCAATAAATGTTATTTCCAGAAACACAAACCCATCAAAGATGGGGAAAGAAATTAAATCTCAAAGTAACGATTAGCCTCTTTCTTCTGCTGCATCAAATAGAAGCTTGCTCCTTCAGCCAGGTATTCAAGATTGTTGCCCTGATCCTGGGCTTTGGTGGTGGCAGGGCTCATGGAGCACCATTATCTTCTGTCCTTTTCTAAAGATCATTACATTTCACTACCAAGATAGAAATTTTTAACAATATTCTAAGGAGTTTATGGAAAAACTGCCCATGTAGCCTCTTTTCAAGTAAATTGCTCTTAAAAAGCTATTAGCCCTAGCACGGAGTTTGCCTTCCTGAATCTTCATCCTTCTGGGCTCTGGTCAGGTGAAAAGGGATGGTAGAAACACAAACTTATGATTTTGACAATGAAATTAAAAGACTCAGGAGCACAAGTGTATTTTTTCAGCACTTACAAATGTGCTGACTTTCATGTCCAAAATGTAATAGTTTGCTTCTATGAGACTTCCCATAGCTATTCAAATAGGTGAAATCTCCTAATACTTCAGTTTCACTTCTGAGTAAATTAATAATGCTAGGGAAAAAAAACACCACTTCCCATGCCAATGTCATTTTTTCATGCCTTATTCTTCTCTCATTCATGAACCACTATAACGTTACTAAAACCTTGATTATTCCAATGCATTAAAAATCCTCTCACTACTCAGCAAAATGAGGACATAGCATGCATTACCTCTTTGGACTTAAATTTGACAGACAAGCAACAACTATTCGGATGTAAGCCCATAAACAATTGTAATAGTCAAAGAATACAAATGTTTCCTAAAATATAAGAGAAACAGATTATAAAATAGATCCAGAAAAAGATGATCATACATGAGAAGTCTAGAAGCTACATAACTTAGAACATTTGACATGGTGGGAAAATATCTGTGAGTAGTATATGAAAAAAGGGCTTAACTTATATTCTAAATGTGAAAATTAAATGAAACAATCTATGTAAAATACTTAACAGAGCCTGGAATACAGTACAACTGTTGTTCTATTATTCAAGTATGGAACAATGGAATACACTACCTTACAAAGTTAGTTACTAATGCTTCTGATTAGTGGAAGCAAGAGCAAAGAAAACCAGCTAGTGGTATTGGGGATTGGAGCACTAAAGGCATAAAATAAATTGCTCTCAAATATGAAATTCTAGAACTCTACCCTAATATAATCAATTCAAAGACTCTAGAATCCAGCCTAAATTAATATAGCCAAAATTATGTTATAAATTGATTACTATTGCAGAATCAAACCTGTTCATTCGTTTACAATAAGGACTTCTTGCTCCTGCAGAAGATAATCGGTATCTTGGTCTTGTAGGAGAAGCTGGGCCACTGTAAAACATGTTGGGCTTTTTCTGGTGACGAGGCTCTAGAAAAGGAAATATATCCATGTAAACATACATACATGTATATGTTACATATATCCATGTAAACATATAAATATGTATGAAGATAATTTGGCTCTTTATCTAAACACTTACAAAGGTGCTGCTGTCCATGAAAGTACTAGCAAACACATGTCTTATATCAATTATATCTGCAGGGTTGCTGCTGAAAATATGTATAGCACGCCACCAGCCAAAACACACAGTCCATAAATAAGCACTGTGATTCTACTCATATACTACCCGGTGATTATCAGATCTGTGTGTAAATGTCACAAGTACTAAGGGACACTGTAAACAAATCTAAAGCAGTCCTATCTATACAAACTGACAAGTCAAGAAGAAAGCTGTGCAATCTAAAATAAAAACAGACACAAATTTCAAAATAGCTCAGTTACTTGCTTTGTTCAAGGCTAACATTTAACTCTGAGAAAATGACTTCCTGCAAATTTAGGATAGGTTAAAACAACAGTATGAGTATTTAGTAAAAGGAAAACATGGAAAAGTACTTTGTAAAAAAAAAAGAACAAAGGTGGGACAGTGAAGATAAAGCTAATGTACATATCTTTCTCCTACAAAAAGCATGACTAGCACCTACTTTCCATTGGAGCCTGGTAGTAAACAGTTGCTTTTCTCTGTCTAAGATAGTAGCGTTTCTGATTATCTTCTTCTCCATCTTCTTCATCTTCATCTTCATCATCATCATCTTCATCATCTTCATCATCATCATCTTCATCATCATCATCTTCATCTTCTTCTTCATCATCTTCATCTTCACCATCATCTTCATCTTCATGGTCTTCACCTTCTTCAGATGATTCTACAATTAAGAAACATTTCCAGAAGAATACCCACCAAAAAGGGGAATGATTTTTAACTTAGGGAGCTCAAAGAGAAAGAAATCCTCCCTTTTAAAATCTATCACCTTTTAGGGCTAGTGGAGTAGCTCACGTGGTAAGAGTGCCAGTGTAGCCAAGTGCAAGGCCCCAAGTTCAAACCCCAATGCTGCTAAAAATAAACAAATAAATAAATTTCATCCTAGGTTATTCACAGAAAGAACCTGTGATTGCTTTGCATCAAGTTTTTTTTTTAAACTTAAGTAAAAATTACAGAATTAAGCACTAGGAAGCAAAGAAAGCAGTTTGAAGGCTACTCTTAGCACAAATTAAAGTTTATGTTATTGGGAATCTTATTAGTAAAGGCAAGTCTACTGAAGCTTCCAAGTTAATGTGGCACATAACAAGTTTTAACATCTCCTCACTTAGTTTTGCCTTTTGTTTGTTCATTTTCTTGTGATGCTGGTGATTGAACTCAGGGCCTTGTTCATGCTAGGTAAGCGCTCTACCACTGAGATGTATCTCCAGCCAATTTTTGCTTTTAATTGACATTCCATATGGCTCCCCTGACTGTTAATGAGTTACAAGCAGCATAACTCAAACAATCTTCTTAGGATAATTCTAAAACATCCTCCTCAAACACACTGAAAATGTGTTTTAGAAAACCGGTTCTCTCCAGGTGCCAGTGGCTCATGCCTGTAATCCTAGCTACTTGAAAGGCAGAGATCAGGAGGATCTAAGTTTAAGGCCACCCTAGGCAAAAAGTGAGAGACTATCTCAGAATACACAACACAAAAAAGGGCTGGTGGAATGGCTTAAGTGGTAGAGGGCCTGCCTAGCAAGTGTGAGGCCCTGAGTTCAAATTCCAGTGTCCCCCCCACACACCAAAAAAACCCCCCTGGTTCCAACTCAAGAAGAAACAATTATGCTAATTTATCTTAAATAAAAGAGCAAAACTGAACTTTAATCACCATTTAACTAGAACAGGGATGTATTGTCTTATCTGCAAATGTACTATATAAACAAAGCAATGTTATTTGCTTTAGAATTGTGTATTTCAGTTACTTTCTAAACAAACCACACTATGCTTTTCTCCCTTGTTTCCACTCCTTTTAAATTATGGCCAATCTGATAATCCACACAAACTACCATAAATAATGCAGCTTCTGAATGAGAAGGCTATTTCCTACTAAACAAATTACTTAAATTCAAACATGGAAAACAGGACAAGAGAAAAGACTAACCTACACTGCCTTCTTGGTTATCGGTTGTTTCTTCATCAGCTCGTTGAATACCTTTTTGTTTTCCTCTTGTATACATATTAAGATTGCCCTACAAATGTTTAAATAAAAGCCATTATCATTTAGTATACAATCATAAAAAAAATATAGTAGGACCTCCAATCATTCTTAAAAAGATACACGTACACGGGGGAAGGGGGTTTGAAAGGTGGGGGGGAGGTGGCACAATGTATACACGTATATATGTGTATGTAATATATATATACACGTATATACATATATATATATGTAAGTAAATGTAAAAGTGATAAGAGGAGAAAAAAAAGACAAAAAAAAAAAAAAGATATGTACAGTTAAAAGCTTGTAACTCCGATAGTAATTAGTCATTGATCAAACAAACGCTGGACAAGGTGATGAATAATCTAATTGCAAATTGGTTATGTGCCACGGGAAGCAATTAAATGAGAGTTTAAAGCACACCCTTACTTCTTCTGCTTCATTGTACACTTCTAAGTCTTTAAGCTCCCTCATTCGTTGTCTGCGCATCTTCTTCATGTCGTCCATTTTTTGAAGTACAGCTTCAGCAGTGCTTTAAAAATATTGATAAAAATATTTCAATAAGAAGCATGGGCTTTCTTGTGTAAAAATATTTTAAAATTTCTTTACAAGAATTTAAACACTTAGTATTATTACAAAGGTCTCAAATAACCATTCTCCCTTATTCTTTACACAAATTGAATGCATTAAAATCTTCAGGATGGTCAAAATTCATGGTCCTCCAAAAAAAAGACAAGTCATTTTGGTCTGAGTGATTTTCACTTACTTTGTTATGAGTTTGTCAAATAGTACAGACTGGTTCACAGTACTGTACCGACTTCTAATCCTACAACTTCGGCGAACTTCAACGTCACCATTCTCTCCATGCAAATGCTCTGTAGTCTGAACAATGTTTCTAGTCCTCAATGACCGAGTAACTGCAATCACTTTGTCTTCACAAACGTGTACAGAAAAATAAACATTTGAAATAGTATTAAAAAACAATTTTAAAATGAGCAACTGAATTGCTAAACTTTCATGTAACAAAATTATAGCAACTTAAATTTACCTTTCTTAAAAACATTAGAAAATAAAGTCATACCATACACCTATGGTATACCCGCCCACTCCCAAGAAAGATATGCAATACAAAAACTTGCACCCACATATTCCTAATAGCCCCAAACTGGAAATAACCTGTCCATCAAAAGATAAAGAGAGCTGGGCGCCAGTGGCTCACACCTGTAATTCTAGCTACTTGGGAGGCTCATGGTCAGCCCAGGCAAAATACTTCTTGTGACCTCATCTCCAAAAATAACCTGAATAAAATGGACTGGAGGCATGACTCAAGGAGTAGAGTACCTGCTTTGCAAGTGTGAAGCCCTGAGTTCAAACTCCAGTCTGCCCCCACCCCTAAAAATGATGAAGAAGAGTTGGAGGCATGGCTCAAGTGGCAAAGAGCTTGCCTAGAAAGCCTAAGGCCCTGAATTCAAAATCCCAGTTCCACCAAAAAGAGATAAAACTGAGTGTGGTGGTATATGAAGAGACCAGTCTGGGCTACACAGCAAGACCCTGTCAGAAAGATGGGAGGGAGGAGTAGGGGAGGAGGGAAGGAGACAAAGAGGGAGGGAGGAAGAGAGGAAGGAAGGAAGGAAATGAGGAGATAAGCAAATTGTGGTATATCCATATAACAGAATACTACCCAGCAACAAAATGCAACAACATGGACATGCTGAGTGAAAGACCAGATTTAGAAGAACACATGCTGCATGATTCCAGTCATATAAAACTTTAGACAATGCAAACAAAGTTACAGAGATAGAAAGCAGATTGGTAGTTGCTTGGAAATGGGGAAGGGGTGTAAGAGCCAAAAGAGATGGTACAGGGACCTAAAGAAACATTTAGGTGTGATGGTTAGCTTCACTATCGTACCACAGTGAAGGTTTCACTGTCAAACCTAACAAAGTATGCATTTTAATATGTACAGGCTATTGTATGCATCTCGATAAACTTGAGAAGGAAATTAGCGTGTTGTAAAAAGAAAAACAAAACAAAAACACCAATAAGCAAAAACCTTAAATGCTATTAACATTACTTACCTTCTTTGCACTCTTCTTTTTTCTTATCAGCCTGCTGTCTGGCCAACTGCCTATATGAAGGAAATATATTAAGCAATTTAATTGACATAACTTTAAATGCTATACTCTAGAAGATAAAAAGTTAAGTAAGCCTGGAAAGTAAATACTCAGATACAAAAGCCTAAGGTTTTTATATAAGTTATAAAAGCTATATTCTTATATATCTATGGTGATATAAGTTATGGTTAAACAAAGTCTAAGAATCTTATTTGAAATTAAATGATATAGGCATTAGCTCTTAGCAAACAAAATTAATCAAAACAAATCATCCTACTAGAAACGAGAAGTGAAATCCTTAGTCTAGGTATTTAAACTATATTATAGTTGAATCAAGTATTACACTGAAACAGCATACTGTGTTTTACATCACAGAGATATAGCAGTCCTACATCCTTAAGGAATTTATAAATGTAAACAGAACTCATGCCCTTAATGATATGTTAATTGCCTTTTAAGAACACCTGTTGGCTACAATGTTTATACAACATCTATCATTATCATTCACATGTAGAAACAGTCCCATTTGTGAGTCAAGTATCCCACCTACAAACCAGCTAACAGAATAGACTGAATTGAAAGAATACTTTCTAAGCCTTAAAAAAAAAAAAAATAGTACCCCTTCCTCATCTTTTTTCCAAAAATCCACGAAGCAGACAAATTAGTCTCATCAACTTATTTTTAGTGACTATTTTCCATATTTGGACAGGTTTTATCTGCTCATCAATGTATTTCCAAGTAGGCTAGTGTACACGTGTGGAATTTCATATAGTATACTTTTTTTTTCTGTTAATGTATTATACTTAAAAATAAAATGAAACCAAGCTGGGGTACAGCATAGTAGTAAAGGACTTTTCCTAGCATGCTTGAGGCCTTGAGTTCCATCCTGAGCACTTTTTAATAAAGTGAAATCCAAACCTCCTTATCTAATGAGTTAACTCGTGTGTTTTAATAACAATGCAAGTCAACATTAATTCGTTACCTCTCCCAGAACACAAGAGCCAAAAAACTAAAGCACAAAAACCTTATGCAATCTGTTAAAGGGTTAGTTCATGCATAGATACACACTTTTCTCCTAAAGGAGCCCTCCTTCCACACCATGTAAGTCTTTAAGGAAAATGGTGTCTTTTTTTTTTCTGCAGAGGAAGGGAGGTGCTTTTATTCTTTTTTTTTACATTTTTATTAGCATATATTAGTTGTACAGGGGAATTTTATTGTGACATTTATGTGTGCTTATGTGTCTTAATTAGATTCACTCCCTCTATCCTTTTTCTCTTCCCCTCTTCGTAGAACAATTTCAACAGGTTTTACTGTCCTATTTTCATACACATATACAATGTACATTAACCATAATCAATTCACCCTCCTTCACCCTCTCCATTTGCCCTCCCAGTGCTTTTATCCTTGTAGAAGTTGGTAAACATTTTGTTAAGTTGTTGGACTTAATATTTAGGTTTATGAGTAGTATAGTTTCAACTACTTCACATCGTGGCATGAAAGCTGTCATACCAAGATGAATTGGCATGGATGGTTTCCAATGAAATTATTTACAAAAACAGGTGGCTGGACTTGGTCAACCCCTGTAAATCTGATTAAAGCCATCAATCTTTTCTTCCTAAAACACTACATATACATTTAAACATTATTTCACAAGCTTCATGCATCCCTTGAAGACCATTTATGATCACTGGACCCTAGTTAAGAACCCCAGGATCTAAAAAATATATAGATCCTACCCTTAAGATCCAGTTACTCAAATCTTTCTGTATTCTCCTAATAATCTTGGCTCTCTGGCCTTTCAACCCAAACACATGGAAAACGGATTAAAAGGAAAAAAAGGAAGTAAGACATGACTGCACAATGCATACCGGCAACAGTGAAAAAAGGAAAAAGATAGTAAGTATATAAAGTAGAACCAAAAATTCTGTACATCATTTTATATAAGCCTTATACAAACATCTTGATGTTACCAGTATAAAAAATGTTACAGGAAGATGATTTTTATACAGGAATTCTTCAAAGACGACATACAAATGGTTGATAAAAAAAAGATACTCAACATTAGCCATTAAGAATACTCAAATCAGAATCCCAGTAAGATATTTTATACCAGATAAAATGGCTAACAGAGTACGACAAATGTTGGCAAGTATATGGAGCAACTGGAACCCTCGTACATTGTTGGCGGGAGTACAAACTGGTACAACTTCCTTGGAAAATAGTTTGGCAGTTCCTCAAAATGTTAGTGTTGGGCTACAGGTGTGACTCAAGGGGTAGAGTGCCTGCCTAACAAGTGCAAAGCCCCAAGTAATGCCCCCCCGCAAAAAAGGGTAGTGTTACTATTTGACCCAACAATCCTATTCCTGGGTGTATTTTCAAAAGAACTGAAAGCCTCCATACACAAAAATTTTGCACACTGATGTTTCTATTACTCATAATAGTCAAAAGGGTGGAGACAAGCCAATGCCCATTCACTGATTACCAAGCAAAACATGACATATCCACACAATGGATAGATCACATATATGGTGCAGACAAATCCACGTATATGAACCACAAAAGCACACGAAGTGAATGAAGCCAGATAAAAAGGACATATTGTTTTCTGGAAATTTATACAAATTTGTATGAACAGAATCTAAAATACCAAATCTTTCATATTTTTAAAAAGCACTTATTTAATACATTATCTCGATACCTTTCTAACACAAAACCCCGAAAAATGTTTCACAAACTTGAATGGACATTTTTTTGAGGAAGGGTCTCACTACCAGTTTGCCCTCAAATTCACGATCCTCCTGCATAAACCTCCCAAGTGCTGAAGCATGTACCACCACACCTGGTTCAGACAGATTCTTTTAAAGGTAAAATCTTTTTCTTTTGTTTTAATGTTCAGAATTTTATTTTTATTTTTGGTGGTACTGGGGTTTGAACTCAGGACCTTGCATTTTCTAGGCAGGCGCTCTTGCCACTTGAGCCACTCCTCCAGACCTAAAGGTAAAATCTTTAAGGACTTTCAACATAAAAACATTACATATATACGTACACATATATATCTTTTGGTGGTGCCTTGCACTTGCTAGGCAGGCGCTCTACCACTTGAGCCACCCTGCCAACCCTGTTTGCTTTGGTTATTTTTGAGATAGGGTTTCACTTTTTGCCTGGGCAGGCCTGGACTACGATCCTATTTGTGCCTCCTGGTGTAGCTAGGATGACAGGTGCACACCACTGTGCCCAGCTACTTTTCCCTGGCTGGCCTCAAACTGTGAGGCCATCTCCATCTCCCAAGTACCAAGGGTTACAGACTTGAGCTACAGCACCTGGTAATATAAGCTTTTGCTGAAATGAAATAGTCATTTTCCACTGATGCCATCAGTTTCTCTTGATTTTGGCTTGTTGTGTATCATGTTTATTACGCACTGTTGGGAATCAGGATGACTCAACCCATCCATGGCTCTATCTGAAGTGCTCCAAACCCTCATTTAAACAGCATGCCATCCCATCCCATCCCATCCCATCAAGTGGTCTTCTCTTGAGAGAAAATGAACTATTTATGTATTAAGATCAGACTCTTCTTATCAACAAACATGAGATAACTAAGGCAGTACTACTTGGTGCCAACTCAGCTATATACACAAATGCAGGCCCTGATATTTTACAGAAATTCTCTATAAGAACAATTTAGGTGATCTGGAATGTTTATTTTTTTCTTAAGATCATGAAAAAATTTTAAAGTCTCATGGACCATTCCCCCAGTCTCAAGAACAAATGTGAAGAGTTCAAGTTTCAGAAATACTGGGCCTTACATTTTTCATGGATTCTAAAAGTTGTACACCTCCCCCATTTTAATATATCTAAAACTGAAATATGTTTTACAACTGATGGCATGTCACAGTTTTTTGGGGTTTTTTTTTTAGTGTCTCATAAAACAATGTGTGCTTCAATGGATGATGTAGTGGATTCCATGAAATATAGTAATAAGTACTCCACAAGTAGTGGATGAAATAAGACGCAAAGTTAACATGTTGCAGTTATAGAAATATCACAATGAATTCCCTCTGTACAACTGATACATGCTAAGAGAAAATGGAAACAGTAAATATTAAAAGTGTTTAATGCAGTTTTAAGGAAAAATGAAACTTAAAGCATAACCTCACTTTTCTGGAAACTATGCTGTACAGAAGAACCACAAGTCCACTTAAGAGTAGGAGGGTTCAGGCTGGGAGTGTGGCTCAAGCGGTAGAGCATTTGTTTAATAAGCATGAGGCCCTAAGTTCAAACTCCGGCACTACCAAAAGAAAAAGTAGGAGGTTCATTACCAATACTTTATCAAACATTTCATCAATGCTTACTCTAATTAGCACATTTCCCATTTATGTTAATCCAAAGTGTCAAAAACTAAGTGAAAGTTAACCAAACAAACTCCAACTCCATGAACCTAGTCAAACTATGTAACTTAACACTATTGATTCCTACAGCATCAAAATGGGTTTTAGGCCACATACTTCAGGGTTCCAAAGAAATGAAATTTAAATATGTATAAAGCATCTAGTTCCACTATATGAAAAAACAACAAACACCCCCCCCCCCGTAAAACTCTCACCACATGTTCTGCTCTTTTGTGGAGACTGACTCTGAAGCACAAGAACACTCATAAATGACTTAGGGTTGATGAAAAATGTGATAGCAAACAATCAGAACTCCATGGTGGACTAAGGCTCCACACAGACTAACACCACAAGTAAGCACAGTCCCTGAGTTTCTTTTAGAACTGATCCTGCTTCAACCAACCTTGTCAGCTCCACTTGTGTGGATCAATAAATACTGTTTTTGAGCAAGAAAAAAACACACCTGATTGGGTACATAATTAATTTTTAATTCAGAAATATTCATTCGTGGCAATTTTATTTCAAATTAATCATATTTTATGACACTGGAATCTTGATAACTGCTCAAAAACACACTTTAAAAATTCACTGCATAGAACAATTAAATGCAAACCTTTAATGGCTACTTTAAAACCATTCTGAATTACCTTGTGAAATGCCTGACGCTGGCATGTCTCTCCGTCATTTCCATATTCTTATCAAAACTGGAATCTGAAGAAGTCTGTGCATTTTTTCTCAAAGACCTTAAAGAACGTGTTTGGTGGTAGGTTTCAACTTCCTTAACTGAAGACCCATCCTTTAAGAAAAATTAAGAAAGCCATCTAAGTTTTTCTCAGTTAAAACTTCCAATCTTCATTCCTCCTAAGAGTTTTCTCTGATTACAAGTTAGTATCAATCACTTTTAGCAGAGGATCACTTTGTTTCTTGGCACTAAACAAGAGCTGAAATCTAACATAATGATTTCATGATAAACAAATGTCAGTAATGTCCATGAAACAGTCAATTCCATTTACAGATGGTTTACAGTTCTATTTCATAAATAGTCTAGAGAGTGAAGCATTCTACACAAGATGTCCTGGTCTCCCCACTCTCAGGCTGGCTTTACTCACTCTGATTGTTTCATTTTGCTTTATCAGGGTGTTTAATTTTATTTTGGGCAGAGTATTTGATTGGTTTGCAAGTAAAATAAGGAAATGCATACCATAAAGATTTGTCTAAAAATTAAGATGGGTATTTCATAAAATGTTAAATGATGGGAATCATGTCACTATCTTTATTAGTATACCTATATTTAATCCCTTAGGCAGCTGTATTATTTTGAATACAAATATCTACATCTTATATCAGTGTCATGCAACACTAAGGCTTGCCATGGGATTTAAGGAAATGTATTTCCAGATTCTCAGCTTCCATATGTACTGATCTCTCATCCATTCCAAACCCTTTATTCAAACCCAGGATTGTCTCAAGGCATTACAAACCTTTACAAAGGGATGGAGGTATGGCTCAAGCAGAACACCTTACCTGCCTTGCAAAAATGAAGCCCTGAGTACTAACCCTGGCACCACACATACACGACCCACCAAAAAACAAAGGAAGACAAAAACAAAACAAAACAAAACAACAAAAAAAACCCTCATAAAGCCAAAGAAAAATATTGATGTAAGGCGCTGGGGAGCTGAATGACTAAGCAACGTAGCTAATCCTTTCACCTGTGAGGTCATTTCAACAAAACTGAAAGGAGACCTAATAAAGCTAGGGGACTACTAAAAAATACTTTTGGCAACTGATTTTTGGCATATTGGCCAGAAAAAGCAAGTGGCACTAATAAATAAAACTCCTTTCATTGCTACCTCCTTCCTTACTCACAGTTATAAAAACAATGGACTTGACGAAGAACACTGCCTTCCGCAAATCACATCCACTGGGTAGAGGACATCAACAATGTAAGACCTAATATTATCTTACTTTACATGTTTAGTCATTTTAATCAAAGCATGTTTTGTTGTTTTAACTCACTAAGTATAAATAACTTGATATTCAAAAATTGCTTCTTAGGGCTGGCAGAGTGGCTCAAGTGATAGAGCACCTACTTAGTAAGCATGAGGCCCTGAGTTCAAAGCCCAACATCACCAAAAAAACCAAAACAACAACAAAAATAATGGTGCTGGTGGCTCACGCCTGCAATCCCAGCTACTGAGGAGGCAGAGATCAGGAAGATCATGGTTTGAAGCTAGCCCAGGCAAATAGTTCAAGAGACCTTATTTCGAAAAACCCTGTCACAAAAAAGGGCTGGTGGCGTAGCTCGCGGTGAAGGCCCTGAGTTCAAACCCCAGTACTGAAAAAAAAAAAAATTGCTTCTTAGAGCCTGTAATCATAGAGAAGTAGAAAAACATTTCATTGTTTTAAAAGTAGGAAAGGATAGCTGATAAAGGACTTTCAGACAAAAAAATATTTTGTGTCAAGATACAATGCTGTGGCTTAAGCAGGTTGAAAATGCAAATCAAGAGGGAAAAAAGAAAGTGAAATTTCTGTTTGCTAAGAGTTTCCTCATTTGTTATTTTTAACATTCCAGGATGCATCAAATATCCATGGTTTTTAATGCCAGAGGATGTATGTAAAAGTTTGATGTGGCAGCTATATTCTTTTTTAATATTAACATCAAGAGATAACAGAAATGATGTCATTTCTAACTATGTAAACAAACCGGGAGAAATCTAAATGGGAGCTTAAAGCTGTACAATAGAGTATACAGTTAGGAAACTAGAAACTCTTAGAAGAAAACACAGGGAAAGCACGATGACAGTGGACTTGGCAATGGTCTCTTGGATGTGACACCCAAAGCACAGACAACAAAAGAAAAGTATTTGTATGGTATACTTCATCAAAATTAAAAACTTTAGTGCACCAAAGTTCACTGTCACCAGGCACAGGTGGCATCTGCCTAGCAAGCATGAGGTCCTAAGTTCAAACCCCAGTACCCACCCCCACCCCCCAAAAAAACCAGCACACTACCAAGAGTGAAAAGGCAACCTGCAGAATGGGAGAGTGTGTGTGAATCATATGTCTAGTAAGGAGATGATACCTAGAATACATAAAGAACTCCTTGCTGAGCGCTGGTGGCTCATCCCTATAATCCTAGCTATTCAGGGGCAGAGATCAGGAGGATCATGGTTTGAAGCCACCAGCCCTGGAAATAGCTGTGAAAAACCCTTCACAAAACTAGGGCTAGTGGAGTGGCTCAAGGTGAAGGTCCTGAGTTCAAGCCCCAGTACTGCAAACAAAAAAAAAGCACTCTTATATTTCAAAAACAAAAATAGTTTTTAAATGAGCAACGGAGTTAAATAGATATTTCTCCAAGGAAAGTTATGGGAAGGATGCTCAACAGTATTAATCATTACGAAAATGTAAACTGAAACAGCAGTGAAATACCACCTCAGTCATTAGGATGGCCATGAAAGATGGAGGGGGGAGAAGAAAGAGAAAATTAATATTGGTGAGAATGTGGAGAATGGAGAAACTAGAAAAACAGTAGGGTAACTCCTTGATAAGTTAAACACAGAATTACTCTATGATCCAGCTTCTTTATGATACCACTTCTGGGTATACACCCAAAGTGAAAGCAGGATTTCAAACAGATACTTATACACCCATGTTCACAACATGATATTATCCACAACAGCCAAAGAGTGGAAGCAACCCAAGTGCCCATTAACAGAAAAATGGATGAACAAAATGTGGTACATGCAATGGAATATTACTCTGCTTTTAAAAAGAATGGAAAATGTAACATCAAAAACTTTGAAGACACTGAAGCAACAAGTCACAAAAAGACAAATATTGCAAGATTCCTCTCATATGAAATTCCTAGAATAATCAAATGCAGAGAGACAGAGTACAATAGTAGTTGCCAGGGAGGGGAGGAGGGAAGAACAAGGAGTTAGTGTTTAATGTTTTGAAACATGAAAAAGTTCTAGAGATGAAGAGTGGTGATAGTTACAGAACAATGTGAATTTACTTAATGACACAGAATCAAACACTTAAAAAGGTCCTTGTGCTCAATCTAAACTCCACAAAAAACAAATAAATAAAAATACATGCCTACTATAATTGGAAAAATGAAGAAATGCACAAAGATGAAAATATCACCCTTAATTCTAGTCATTCACAGACAACCACTATTAACCTCTTGATAAGTAAGTCATTCTTTTCCTATGCAAATATTTTGTGTGTGCTGGGTACTTAATCCAGAGCCTTGGATATGACAAGCACACCCTCTACATTCCAGCCTTCATAGGTGGTATGTCAATTAAACAAGTAAGTCTTAAACAGGATCTTTTTTTTTTGGCAGTTCTGGGGTTTGAACTCAGGGCTTCCTCACACTTGCTAGGCAGGCACTCTACCACTTATGCCACCCCCCCCCCCCAAACAGGGTATTTTAAAATCACAGCTATAATACTGATGCACAATGGTATACTTGCTATACCAAGTACAGCTGTGATATTCCTGCTTAATTTCATCTTTAAATTTGAGTGATCAATTTCTCACCATTGATCTAGTCCAAATGCCATTAAGTTGTTTTTACTTCTATACATCTTTCCATAGAACCAGAACTGTCTCCCAGTGGCTAAAGTCAATGGTCTTTTCCACTGTCTCACTGGCTTTGATGGAGTTAATCACTCCCTTCTTTAAGTGCTTTGATATCGGGAATTTACAGAATTATCTTGGTTACATAATTAAATCTCAACCTCTTCTCAACTTTAAAATATAACCATTGCTTCAGACTTTCCTGAATTCCTTTTATGTTTTGATGTTTTCAATTTTTTCTCAAGAATATGTACCTCTTACAGAACTATGGCATATTTCAAATGGCCTACTATTCACTCTTTAGCTAGAATTAAGTCTTCCCTTCCTGTATCCAAACAACTTTAAGTCTTCTTATTGCATTATTTGGTATTTTTCTCTCTAATTCTACTACTGCCACCACCTTAATTTAAACTCCAGTTTTCTGTTTTGGTCTATTGAGGCAATAGTGTATTAATAACTCAAACTCTTGGGCTGGAGGCATAGCTCAAATGGTAGAGTCTCCTGGCTAGCAAGTGCAAGGCCTGGAGTTCAAGCCTCAGTACTGAAAATAAAACAAATCCCAAACTCTGGACAGAGAACTCCTAACATCATTCAGGAGCTATGTAATCTTATACAAGTCACACAGTTTCTCAGCCTTAGCTGTGTCTGTAAAGACGGCAACAGTAGCAACCAGTAGCAACTTAATGGGGGGGGGGTGGGGGGTGGGTGGGTGGGGTGTGTGTGTGTGTGTGTGTGTGTGTAGCTGTGTCTGTAAAGACGGCAACAGTAGCAACTTAATAGGTGTGTGTGTGGGTGTGTGTGTGTGTGTGTGTGTATGTGTAGCTGTGTCTGTAAAGACGGCAACAGTAGCAACTTAATAGGTGTGTGTGTGGGTGTGTGTGTGTGTGTGTGTGTGTGTGTGTGTAGCTGTGTCTGTAAAGACGGCAACAGTAGCAACTTAATAGGTGTGTGTGTGTGTGTGTGTGTGTGTGTGTGTATTAGGTACTATGCCTAGCACAATGCTATCTTACCAGATCCTTGTTCTACCTCCTTACTGCTTCCTAAATGAAGTTGCAATTTCTAGGTTTTCTTTTTTCTTTTTTTTGCTGTACTGGGGATTGAACCCAGGACCTCCTGCATGCTAGGCAAGCACTCTACTACTTGAGCCACACTCCTAGCCCTAAAGTTGCAACTTCTAAACCTAAAATCAAGGACCCTTTCTGGCTCATTCTTGAATACAAATCACCCAATGGAAGGGAGCACACGCACCGGCCCACGTGAAAATATCCTTACCCACGCCTTGTGGCACTTCATTGAACTACAGGCTTTTTCTTTTTTTGTGCTGTGTTTTTTAAATTACCTGTCGGGTGCTGGTGCTCACCTGTAATTCTAGCTACTTGGAAGATTGGAAGGCTGAGATCAGGAGGATCTCAGTTCAAGGCCAGCCTGGACAAAACAGTTCATGAGATTCATCCCCCGCCCCCACCCCCAAAATAATCAGAGCAAAATAATCAGAGGTGAGGTTACAAGTGGTAGAGTGCCTGCTTTACAAATGTGAACCCCTGAATTCAAATCCCTGTCCCACCAAAAAAAAAACCATAATCTTCCACATGTTTTATACATTGGCATTTTCAGACTATTTTTCCAGACTTTTAATCTTTTAATACACAATTTTTAAAAAACAGTACCTTCTACATACTGCAGGCATGCTTTTATTTTGCCTAAGAGCATATGGAAGGACAAAACTAAATGCAACACAAAACTAATATACAATCATCAAACAAACCCCTATCTATCCATCCTTAAGTGACTTTTCAGAATAAAAAACAACCCTAAGTTTACTGAAATCAAAGAACTTCAAACTTGTGAAATTACAGAAACAGACAATGGTTAGTCTGACTGGAGAAAAAAGAAACCACAGAAAAGACATCCAACTCATAAAGTTGGTAGGATGAAAATAAAAGTTAAAAAAAATGGTATTCAGGAAAATCATACAAAGAAAAACAAAAGAAAAATCTCAATAGAGTGAGATAATATTCAAAATGTAAAAGTGGAATGTAGTATAGGTGACCATAGAGACCTTCAGAATTTCAAGGTCAACTTCTGAAAAGAGACTTAAATTAGAAAGCATTCCATCCACAAAGGTGTATTTCACTATTGGTATTGGTGGGCTTTGTAAATACGAATCTATCACCTATTCATTCCTGCAGCTGTCTTTGAGTAGCTGAGATTACAAGTATGTGCTACTCTGTTCTGGTCTTACCCATGTCTATTAATCCAGTCCCATGCTAAGTAATCTCTGACTATAATTTGGTCTACATAGGTGTCTTTGTTTATAGAAGGGAGGAGTACTTTGCCTCAAAATGATATAATCCTTACTGCAAACTCTGGCCTATAAAAAAAACAATCCTATCTACCCTTCAACAGCCAGCCGAGTGCATTCCAGTTGCTGAAGGACCATACGGCATTTACGGCAAAATCTCTGTATATTACTGTGTGGTCTCCTGTGCTAGTGTAAGTTCTTTTCAAGCAAAGACAACCAAAAACGAGTATTAACCATCCACTACACGCTAGTTCTGTTCTAGGTACTAGGAATACACTGTTCAACAAAAAGTAAAAATTCAAGTTTGTATGGAGTTACATTCTGATTTGGGGAAGGATAAAAAATATATAAAACTTAGAAAATTACAGAATATACCTGAAGGTAGTACTTGCCAGGAGAAAGAAAGCAGGAAAATGGGTCATGTCAAGGAGAGTGATTTGTGATTCTGAACAGGGTGCTTAGGGTAAACGACACTAAAAGATGAAATCTTAGCAAACACCTGAAAGAGATAGACAGGATCCTAAGTTTGAATCATAGTTCTATAGCTTACTATATATAAGGTGAATTGGGGCAAGTTATTTAAATTTCTGTGCTTCGGTTTTCTCATCTGTAAAAAAGAACAGTCATGCCTATCTCATTAGGTTATAAGGATTGAGTTATCATTTGTACACTTCTTGGAACACATTAAACATTCTGCGTTCTGAGGGAGGAGGAAAAGAATGATTCATGTAGATATCCAGAGGAAGAGTACTCCTGATTGAGGCAGAATGAGAGCAAAAGCTTTGCTACCCAAGGAGCAACTAAACCAGTGACTGACTACAAAAAGAGCTTTGTAAAGGGTTGGATAAAAGACATCATTATAGAGACAAAGGGAAGGTGGCAAGGTGCTGATTTACAAACTTTTAGTCTAGGGCTTGGGGATGTAGCTCAGTGGCAGAGTGTTCATCTGGCATGCTCAAGGCCCTGGGTTCAATCCCCAGCACTGCATAAAAACAAACAACAAAAAACTTTTAGTCCAACATGGAGCGTCACTAGACAGTTTTGGAGCAGAGAAATGACTGACAGCTTTGACTTTGTAAAAGAATCACTGCACTGAGAACTGATTATTGGAGGAGGAAAAGCCAGTCAAAAACCTATTTTAATAATGCAGGCAAGCTAGGAGCCAGTGGCTCACTCCTGTAATCCTTTGGGAAGCAGAGCTCAGGAAGATTGCCTTCCAAAGCCAGCCTGGGCAAGTAGTTTGAGAGACCCCATCTTGAAAACACACAACACAAAAAAGGGTGGGCAGAGTGGCTCAAGTGGTAGAGCACCTGCCTTACAAGTGTGAAGCCCTGAATTCAAACCCTAGTATGTTTAAAAAAAAAAAAAAAAAAAGCAGGCAAGAGAAAAGGGCTTAAACCAGCAATGACCAGATGTTGAAAACAGAGATATAAGAATTTGCTAATGTAATGGGTATGAGAGAAATTAAGGTTGAACCTAAGGTTCTTGGCCTGAAGAACTGGAAAGATGGAATGGCCATTAGCTATAATCAACTATGCTCTTAACAGCTGGCAATGACTGAGCCCTAACTATATGCCAAGTTCTCAGTTAATCTCTTTATATGCATGACCACACTTAATTCTCACTACCCATGGGGTGGGTATCGCTCCATTAAACAACTATAGAAACCTGCTGGTTATCAATAAGCTAGGTAAGCTGAAATTCTAAACTAACGGTTATCTTAAAAGCCTAGGTACTTAACCAGTACTCAATATACCATTATGGTCACAGGATCTAGCTTTATCCTGGAAGTATTTATTGATCAGATTTTTTTCCTGAACATGGATTAACAGGTCAAGTGACTTTGGAAGTGTTTAGCCTCCTCAGATCTTTGCCAGTTCCTGAACCTGATTGAGGAACAGGTCCTGAAATCCTGAAAGTCAGGAAATTATCTTTTCAATTCAGGGCCACAATTTCTGAGATCAAAGGGTTATGTAAATTTGTAATCCATCCTCCTTGGTAGAGTAGCAGCCAGCAAGGGGCACCTACAAAATATACTAATTTCAGATAGTGATATTAATAAAAGACTTTAATACTCTAAAATAGTTTGCACTAAAGAAAACTATGTTGTCACTCCCTCAACACACCTTCCCTTAGCCTCTCATTCTGACTTCCAGGTTTTTGTTTTTTTTTTTTAAGTGTTGCTTTAAGTGGAGTTTTTTTTTTTTTCCCTTTGGTGATACTGAAGAGCCTTGGGTTCGCCAGGTAAAAATGCTACCACTTGAGCCACGCTCCAGCCCCTCACTTCCAAGTTCTTAATCTTCTCTCCAATCCTGTTTTTCCTACTTCCATTACCTACCCTCACCCAAGAAGGCAAAACTACCTGCTGCCTCAACCTCACCTATCTTTCCGGATGCTGTGTTCTTTCAGCAGCAGGGCAGGGGAGGTTAGACGGAGGTGTCTCTCCAGCTTTAACTCCGCCCACCAAAAAGAAAAAACCCCACCTGTACTTAAGACCTGCTAGAAGCATTTCTTTCGAGAGGAGTCTACCCTTTCCGAACTTCCCCTGCAGACACTGTTTGTGGCTGCAGCGTGACTTAACAGGAAGGCAAAGATTGGGGAGGCAGGGAATCCAAGTTCCAATTTTAGACCGACCACTCACTGGTTACCTTTTTTGAGTCCAGTTCTTCATCTGTCACACTGATACCATCACTACGCCTTCTCAAAGGCTGGATGAGCCTTAAGCGAAGGGAGTGTGCCTGAAATGTTAAATCTTCAACACGTCACATTATGCAACCCGGTGCACTCCCTGCGCACTTGGACGGTAAATGGAGGTCGGGCAACCTGAATCACTGTCAACTCCCACAGACCCTGAAATGTTCAGCACGCACGCAGGGAAGCAGTCAGCAAACTCGCGTGGCAGGCACTCCACGGACGGATGCGAACCTAAGACAGGCAGCAGCCCGGGAGGCGGGGGTGGGGGGAGGGCGGCCCCAGCCGCCCCGGCTCGGCCCCACACCGCACTAGAGCTCCGGCGGGCTTCGGTTTCCTCTTGCGTAAAAGTAGGAGGTCCAGACTGCTCAGCCCTCCGCTTCCAGCCAGCCCGACCCACACCCCGCGCGGCCGGGATCACAAGACCCCTTCCATCTCACCGGTCCTCGGCCGCACTCCTCCCCCCACGCCAGTCCCCTCGGGCACCGGGACAGTTCGGTCCCACCGGCTCGGCCCGAGGGTCCCGCCCCAGGCCGGTACTCACGCCCGCAGTGACGGCGGATTTCTCCGCCACGCCGGCCGAGCGGAGCCGCCTTCGTCCGCTGGGCTGCAGACTCAGGAACTCGCTGGACAGGTCCAGGGAGTCCGTAGCCGAGGCGGCGGAGTTGCTGTGAAGCTCTAGGCTGCTGCGGAGGACCACCATCGTCTTTCGCAGCAAAGTCCCAGCGTCCGCGGCGGGAGACGGCCGCGAGCTCGACCGCCGACCTCTCAGGCGCTTCCGCGCTCCGAATTCTGGCGCCACAAGCTCCGCGCCAGCGGTCGCAGCGCGCGAGCTCGGGATCCCTCCGCCGTTTGTCCCGCCCACTCTGCCCACCTAAACTGGCGGGCTCCAAACTCTCCTCCCATCGGAAGGGTGAGGAAGGCCACGCCGAAGCGGACTAGAACACACACTGATAGCGTGGAGGACTTGAGCGGATCTTGGACGGAGAAGGCTGACTTCTCTCCTTAGGGAGTTCCGGTTCGCTGCACTCAGCGGAGGGAGACGGCGGGAGCGGTGCGAAGTCCGGTTTGGAATTTTGGCGCGTGGACGCAGAGGGGGAAGGGAGGCTCCGCCCGCTCTGATTGGCTGGCGGCTCCTCCTCCGCTCCCTCTGACACCTGCCTGCTGCTTCCCGCCATCTAGCATTCAAATACAAAATGCCGGGACTTTGACCCGAGGGAAATAAAGCACTCAGCCTTGGACAAGTTTTGCCTTTGAACCGTAAGAGGCTTTTACTGATGGCTTAGCCAAAGTAAGTTAACTTCCTAAAAGAAAGAAAACAAAGCGAGCTTAAAGAGAGCCAATAGAGAGCACCATAGTTAAGGACTGAGTTTCTGCATCCACTTCTGTAGGTCATCTTAAATTACTCACCTGCCCGGTTCCTAACTTCCTAACCTAAAAAAAAAAATTACTATACTTTATTACTGCGCCTGCACATACTAAGTGCTCAATAAATGATGCTGTCACAGAATTACAGAAAAATGGCTTCTGTAAGATGACAGCAGTCACTTGACTATTCTGAGATAACAATCACGCTGAATTATCAGAATGCGAGAGGAACAACCAAAACCAGGACTGTAAAACAGGCACAGTGGGGCGAGAGGCTGAAGGGAGGCGATCGAGGTGACTTCACACACCTATATGAAACAACCAGGAAATAGGGTGGGGGGAGGCTGAGGGGAGGAGACGATGGGGGCAATGTAAACAACGTAAAATATAAGTCTAATCGGAGTTGTCACTAGGAATTCCCCCGAATAATGAATATATCCTAATAAAAATTTATTAAAATTAAAACGAATGCTAGAGGCACCCTAGTCAAATAGAAACAAAAGCTGTTTATTGATTTGGATAACTATGATTTATTAATTCAACGTGTGTTAAATATTTATTGAGCAGCTATTACGGGGTCAGGCATTATTGTAAACAATGGGGATGGCAGTGAACAAAAAGAACAAAAATTTTCTCATGGGGCTTAAACTCTAATGAAAGGAGAAAGACAATATACTATGTATAACAAAGCCAGGCACAGGGTGACCCCGCCTAATGTGGAGGCCGAGACTGGTAGGATCCTGATTTGAGAACAGCAGGGGCTAATAGTTCAGGAGACCCCATGTCCAAAATAACTAGAGCAAAATGGACTGAAGGCCCTCAGGCTTTGCGAGTGTGAAGCCCTGAGTTTAAACCCCAGTCCTACCAAAAAACCAAAACAACCCCTCCTACATATAGTAAATATGTTTGTTGAAAAGTAGGAAGAATTAGAGAGAAATATAGAGAAGGGGAAGGGTGCAATTTTAAAAAGAGAGATTAGGAAAAGTCTCTTGAGAAGTTTGAAAAAAAGCTGAGAGGAGGTTAGATGTATCCTAGAAGAGAGATGGAGGCAGAGGGAAAGGGAAGATGTAGAACCCCAACTGAAAAAAACAAAACAAAACCCCCAAAACAGTAAAACAAAAACCCAGCTATATGGAGCTTATATTTTAAAGGTTGGGAGGTAGTCAGCTATTAAATGAGGAGATGAATAACAAGATAACTTTGACATACCAAATGGTATGAAGAAAATAAAACAAGGTCGTGTGATAGGGCATGACTGAGGGAGGGAGGGAAAGAAAGTGTGGACTCCAAAGGTCTTTTTGAGTAAGTACGTGAGAGATGACCCAGGAATGTTATGAGAAGGAATTTGACTTACAAAAAATTGGCAGAGCAGGGCATGGTGGCATAGCACTGAGGAGGTGGAGGCAGGAGGATGACAAGTTGGAGGCTGGCTTGAGCTACATAGCAAGATCCCCATATCAAAAAAATTGACTGATAGAGCAAAACCTGTTGAGATTAGAAAGGAAGATGTAGGGGACTGGGGATATAACTCAGTGGGGCCCTAATATCATAAGTAAAGGGAAGAGAAGGAAAGGGGAGGGAACAGAAGAGAAGGAAGAAAGGAAGGAGTGGTCCATATGGTGCAGTGCCCTTGAAGAAGCTAATTGTGTGGTTTCAGTACAGTCACAGTGGGAAGTTTTGATAGGGCTGGCTGCTTGGTGAGAAAACACAGAGTGGAAAATTAAGAGGCTGGTGAGTGGCTCAAGTGGAAGAACATCTGCCTAGCGATTGCAAGGCCCTGACTTCAAACCCCAGTACCACCAAAAAAAAAAAAAAGAAAGAAAAAGAGGTTGCCACACTGTTCTGGTGAGAGATGATGGCCTGCACTAGTAGCAGTGACCCCATCAAAGTGGACAGGTGGGGATTTACTTTAGATTAGAGCCTACAAAAGAGTCCCGCTCACCATTCAGTAGAATGACTTCATCTAGGTTTGCTGTTGACATGAAGTGACCTCTTCCTTTTTGTAACTATGTACTGGTCTACTTTGTTCATTGGATTGATGAACATTTGTTTTCCTTCTCTTGCTACTATATAACCATAATGAATAAATTGGTTCAAAAGTCGTTCTCACACATGGCATCATATATGTAGAATAAGTTTCTAGAAGTGGAATGGCTAGGTCAAAAAGTATGTACAAATACATGCAATAACATCAATGAATCTTCCAAACATAGTATTAGGTAAAAGAAGCCAGATATTTTAAAAAATGTACAATTCCTTTTATACTAAGTAGAACTGACAAAACTAACTTTTGCTGTTAGAAATCAGAATATTGGTTATCCTTGGGTAGAAAGGATAGTAGTTAAAGGGGTTTGAACTAGATTCTGGTTTCTCAAGTACACTCAGCTTATGATAGTTAATAGAGTTGTTGGAGGCCTGGCGCCAGTGGCTCACGCCTGTAATCCTAGCTACTCAGGAGGCAGATGAGGAGGCTTAAGGTTGGAAGTCAGCCCAGGCAAATAGTTCTCCGAGACCCTATCTTGAAAAACCCATCACACACACAAAAAAGACTGGTGGAGTGGCTCAAGGTGAAGGCCCTGAGTTCAAGTCCCATAACTGAAAAAAAAAAATAGAGCTGTTGGCTTACAATATGAGCACTTTCTCTGTACATATTATGCCTCAAAAAAAATTATAAAAGCGCTTCCACTGAAAAGACACATTCATGATTTTGTTAGAGATTACCAAATTGCCCTCCACAGAAGTTTTAGCAGTTAGTTTGATTCTTTTAAAATAGCAGAGCAATAGAAACTTCAGAACACCAAGAGACAAAGACAGCCAAGAGATTTTCTTTTATTTTCTCACAACAATATTAAACATGAAGAATTATCACATTGGTTTCAGCCTGTAATTGATGAAGTAGGCTGAATTGTGTCCCCCAAAAACATAGATTCAAGTTCTAAATCCCAGCACCTGTGAATATGATCTGATTTGGTAAAGGTGTCTTTGCAGATGTAATAAGATCTCGAAATGAGGCTTTCCTGGTTTAAATCCAATGACGTTTTTTTAAATTTGTTTTTTGTGGTTCTGGGTTTGAACTCAGAGCTTTGTGCTTGTTAGACAGGTGTCTATCACTTGAGCCATGCCTTTACCCTTTTTTTCCTCTGTTTTTAAAAATTTTGTTAATTATTATTTTTTTTTGGTGGTACTGGAGTTTAAACTCTGGGCCTCATTCTTGCTAGGCAGGCACTCTACCCACTTGAACTACTCCTCCAGCCCTTTTTGTGTTGGGTATTTTTGAGATAGGGTCTTGCAAACTATTTGCTGGGGCTGGCCTGGAACCTCAATCCTCTTGATCTCTGCCTCCTGAGTAGCTAGGATTACAGGTGTGAGCTTACCAATGCCCAGCTCTCTGGTTGTTTTTGACATAGGATCTCCCTTTTTGCCCAGGTAGGCCCAGACTGCAATATCCTGTCTTAGGCTGTCATCACACAGTAGCTAGGATGACTCCTGCACACCACCACACCCAGCTATCGGTTGAGATGGGGTCTTGCAAACCTTTTGCCAGGGCTGGCCTTGAACTACAATTCTCCCTATCTCAGCTTTCCAAGTAGCTAGGATTACAGGCACGAGCCACTGATGCTTGTTCTGCTGTTCTTACAACAAGAAGGAGAGAGAGGTTTGTCACACAGACACATGCAGTGAAGGTGGTGATGTGTTTATATACCAAGAAAACCACCGATGCTCAAAACCACCAGAAGCTAGGAGAGAGGTATGGAACAGATGTGCCCTTGGAGACAACAGAAGAAACAAACCTGGCCCACACTTTGATTTCAGACTTCTGGCCTCCTGAACTATGAGAGGACTTTTTTTTTTTTTTTTTTTTTTTTTAAAGCCAGCCAGTTCGTGGAAATGTGCAGGAAAAGAACAGAATTTTGGTCTAAGATCGGTCCTTTCCTTTTCTAGTCTTAGTCATTTGAAATGGGAGTAACTTGATTTAGGAGGAAAAGAGGGAGTAGAAACTGAAGCTCTTGCCCAGTCCTGACCAATTAAAAAAGATCCAAGTGTTCTCACATTGTGTGCTACAGAAATGAGTACGAGCTAAACAGCTAATTTTATTTCTATTACTTCACTTGGGATGAGGTCATAAGTGGGTCCCTTTCTGCTCTTGGTAGCAATGTTAGAAAGTCAATATCAATTTCAACAGGCGTTTCTCTCAAATGTTGTAAATGTGACCTTAGTTAAATTTGATAGTCGATAGCTAATCTTATTGAATTCTCATAAAAGAAGAAAGAACATTAATCACATGGAAGTAGGGGATGTCACAGTTGACATCTGACATTCTTTAACCAATCTGCATTTGCTTTTTAGTTAATTAATTTTATAGTGCAAAAATAAGAAGGGGTCAGGCGCTGGTGGCTCACACCTG